GCTTGGGGGGCTTGGCACAACATCTTAGGTAACGCGTTACAAAATATATTACAATCATTACAACTATAACTAAAAGTTTTGTAGTTAGAATTGCATGACACCGTGTATAAACATACTTATTATAGGTCACTGTTATTCTAATCAATTAGTCTATAGAGCCATTAAAGCTAGTAACGACATGTCTCGAGAAATATATATATTACTATATATGCTGTGTCAGCGTCTTTGTCCGGGTAGAACAGTTATTTTGGGCATTCAAATTTGTTTTTGCAAACCTCGTCTTCATCTTTATAAAAGCTAATACTAATGACGTCCGTCGCTTCCCTTCTTCTTTCCCAGGAATTTTTCCCAACTAGATACCGGTATCTTGATACACAAAAAAAATGTGTGAAACGCAGCCGTTGCGTACGCTCAAGAACCGTTTTCACAGCGCAACCGACACCCCGAAATTTTCTCCGTTTTTCCACATTTTCCGCTTTTTCTTCGCTATTACCTATTAGTCTTATTCGACGTTTTATAGCCTATATAGCCTTCCTCGTTAATACTCTAACCAACACAATATTTTTTTAAACAAGTATTTGCTGATCGTGGCGCGTTCAAAATACTCTTTTGGATTTTATATGAGTATAGAAAATACGTGATTCTCTTAACGTTTGAAAATTGAACTTTCATTTTAATTCAAAATGATGAATATCTATTTTATTTTAACATTATTACAAAGAAACACTGTCACCTGTTGGTGTGTTAGAAAATTTGAATTCGTGAAGTCATGGGTTGTCGTCCTATAGCTCTGTAAATGGGAAAGGTGAGAACATCCCTTGTCTACCTTTAGTCCCATGTTAACGTGGAATGTAATATACTCGTAACTCCCCTACAATGACTCACGAAAGCTTATTTTAATCTTGAGAGATTTCCTTATTAGTTCTTAAGTAGATATCGTTAGATTAAAACTTGGAGAGTACGTTAAGTTTGCAGATTTAATACATCAAAGTGTCAACAATTTAGGGGAGTTGACACAATGTTTCGCGAATTGTATAAGAATCGCGTTTGAACCCGTTTAAAATAGTTTTATAAACTGAAGCGAGGGACTACGGCATATTTTGGCATTCCGATTAGTATGACCACGGCTGTTGTAAAGCATCCGAAACCCCGGGAATATATAAAAGGCGTTTTAAACCGTTTATGTGTTTTATATAAATGTGAACTACTCGCGTTAACAGTATTTAATCCATTTAAATTACTACGGTAAAATTTTAGTGGCACCGTTTTTAGCGCATCAACTATTTGGAGTACGACTTATTAAGATCTATATTATTAATGACGACCGCAAGTTTGTTTGAAATAGAAGTAGATATGCTTGAATAATTAAAACACAACATTGCGACATATCACTTATAATTACGCAGTGTAAATTATAATTTTGCAAAAAACAAATTCGCCGACAACCCATAAATAACGCGTCGCAACTTTCGCAAAAATAAAAAGTTAAAAATGCAGCCGCTCTCCAAATAATCGGAATTAAACTCATAAATATAGAATGGCGGCCGATATATTATTCAATGTTAAATTGAAACGGCAAAGCGTTGGTTTATTCGTAAAATTGATGCAGCGTGAGCAGTTTAGACACGATGAAAGTATGAGCTGACACGCAGAATAGCCAATCGAAAGACCAGACGCAATATCGGCTTTAATTACTTCAAGAAAAAGAAATGGTAGTTAGAAAGGTTTTTCACAAAATTTACAACAATTCTGTCAGTACTTGTACGCGAGTAGTACACATTTAAATAAAACACTTTAACGGTTTAAAACGCGATATATGAATTAAACTTATTTGAAAATGATAAACGGCCCAAAAATATATATCGCGTTTTAAACAGTTAAAATGTTTTATATAAATGTGTACTACTCGCGTAAACTATAGACGGTATTTAAAACAATTTTACGGTGAAAGTGAATACAACATACAATAGTTATTTAAATACATCATTTTTTTCATAATTTTGGGCTCGTTGGTATAATGGTAGCGTTGTAAGGCTAATAATCAAGAAGTCGGGATTCGCTCACCGGGTTCTGAATTGAAGTCTGTAACAAGTTAGACGTGGTGTTTATCACTGGATATTAGAAAGGGCGTAAGTAAGGTTACTCACGAACCACCTTCCACGGATTAATAAGCCGTCAAATTTAATCGCGTTTCGGTTTCAGTCTGCGGATTTCCAAATATCCAAAGCTAATATAAGTGGACACCTCATCTTGTTTTGATGTTATATAGCTGGGGATGAGGTATCATATATCCTAAAGTGATACCCCGTGCTAATCTGTCCTGTTCTATAATTAGCACATCTTATTAGCATAAAAAAACGGTTTAAAACGAGAAATATATTAGGTCTCGTGACCACGGCTGCTATAAAGCATCTGAAACCTCAGGCCGTAGTTAAAATAACTTTTAAATAAGTTTAACTCATATATTTCGCCTTTTAAACCGTTAAAGTGTTTTATTTAAATAGAAATATATATATCTAATCTTATTATTTTATTGTCATTTATTATTACTATTACTAGAAATATTTAAACTTGAATTCGACCAAGTAAACCACGCTTCGGTCTCTATTAGCTATAATACGGCCGACGTAACTTGGCAAGTCTGAACTTAGCGCGAAACGCTGCGCAGTAATGTTCCTTAGGATGTTAACGGTGGTAAAGGCGACGTGCGCGGGACGGAGATCTAGGCTAGAAATTGACTCAATGTCAACACAATCGAGCGTTTATTCTATCCAATTTCGTAATCGATTTTTATCGATTTAGATTATGGATTTTTAATCATATCGGATATTGTAGTAAATGGATTTATAAGCACATTGAATGGTGTTAATAATAAAATATACCATGATTACTTTAAAAGGAAAATAAAATCATTAAACACTTGTTTTTCATGACATCTCTATTTGGTTATTTTGTAAAGCTTCGTACATATTCGGTAATCGATAGACACACTACTGTCTCGACCACTTCTTGACGTTAATTTCGTTATCTCTGTCTTCAGCACAGCTGTTAGTAAAGTGATCGTTTGTTGTTAAATTGAATACTATTTTTTTCATTAATTAATTCTCTTTTATTGATATTGTTATATATCGTTATATTGTTCTATCTATATTGTTATATTTTTGTTTTGTCTCAGCATTTTAGTGGAAAATAAGTGTTCGTAGCCCTTATTCTTTTTTGAATCAATTATTGGTATTTTTTTGGTGGTAAAACTTTATCCCTGTAACGGCAATAAATTGCAGTATTAGATTTATTTAGATTATAATTGTAAGTGCCAAGTTGATCTATGTTCGGACCTGCCAAGTTACGTCGGCCATATTATACAGATCATTGCAAAATTGGATCCCCGAATTATTGCGGCCTGGTACGACCCCTACTAACAGTCGTTCACGTACTCTCTACCTATCTAGGAATAACTAACAGATTAAATTCTCACTGTCTCTAAATGCACGGGACGTTTGTTTCCTCACTTAGTACGTAAGAATACTTCCAGTTGAATATAAATTAAATAGCTTTAAGCACAAGGTAAGTATTTTATAATTTAAATAGTCGTTATTAAATACATATCTCTGATTCCTGGTTTAAAAGGTGACGGCGAAAATTTTTGTTATAATTTCTCCCTGTATTCCTTTGTATGGAAATCTTATTAAAAATCAATTCAAAATAAATGTGAATTGTGTTACCAAAAACCTTACCTTCGGAATTATAATTTAGAAACACCAAATAAATAGTACGACTACTGCTCTTGTCAAAATCATGGATGACATCCGGCGCAGCATGGATAACCAGCCGGTGACCATCTGAATTTACTCTTCTCGATTTCAGTAATGCCTTCTGTACTGTTGATTTTGACATACTACTCAGCTTATTGCGTTCTATTAAAACAATTTTGAAACAAGTTTAACTAACATATATCGCATTTTACACCGTTAAAGTGTTTTATTTAAATGTGCACTACTCGCGTGAACTACAGACAATATTTGATATTAAACAATTCTCTCAAATAATACCAATAACCACATCGGTTTTCATCAACAACGAAACTTCGAAGTAAGCTACAATAGTACTTTGAGCCAAACTTTTTGCTTTCAACTCCATTAAACTTAGTTCGAAGGAGCTAGTATTAATTCCATTCAAAAACAATAACTGATTCTTGTCCGCCAAAAGGAATACGAGGTTAACCATTGATCAATGTATGTGAAGTCCGGTGTTTCAATTATAAACGGGACTGGGAAGTTCTCGGTTTGCTGGTCAACTTTTATTAGTTCCCGGACTAGAAAAAGTAATCAAGTCTGCAATATATCGCGCACATCGCGAGATAAGTCTTAATTGTTTGATGCAACCAGCTATCTTATTTATAATCCGTTTGCAAGTTACTTTTTAAAGATAGACATATAGTGTCGCGGACATTTTTTTAGATCATTTAAAAAGGATTCATTCCTCTATACATATTTTTTGGGTGTCATGAACCGTTCTCGCAGCGTACGGATCAGAAACCCACAAAGATGAAAAAATTTCCCCCTGTTTTGTTCATGTAACCCGCTGTATCTTCACTTCTATTAGTCACGCGCAATGTTATAGTCTTCGTCGATAAATGCTCTAATTAACAAAACAAAATTTTTTTTTATTCGAACCTGAAGCTACTACTTCGCTTGGTAAAGATTAATTCGTTATGACATACCTGTATTTACAATCAGCAAATTATTACTGCATTATTAATAACGTAAAACATTTTATCAGGTCTTCACACCCCCACACAGATGACGATAGAATCGTCCCAAACACCCTCCTTTAAAAGCGACAACAGACGATTAAAAATAATCGCGTTCCCGTCAATCAAACCGTAATAAAATGACAGCATGAGTGGAAAAATTTACACGAAAATAAAATAAAATGTGGCTTAATACACTATAATGTAACTGAAGAAAACTTTAAAAACTGTAAACAAATATTTCTGTGCTATGCCAGGACCGGATATACGGGCAGATGACAACCATGTTCTTGGAGAGATGTCCACTGAGCCGACGGCGACAGTCCACAGCGGTGTCGAGGCGAAGGCTGAAAGGAAACTCACTGTTCTGGAGACGCATGGGTACATCCTTGGAAGGACCATTGGATCTGGCTCTTACGCTACTGTCAAGGTGACAGAGTAAAACTATTTATGCAAACGACATTGTACCAGTAAATAAAATCAAACAGTGCAACAGACGCAGAAATATATCTGCCCCATACATTACAAGAGAGAGATACACGTTACAGGCATTACGAATACGTGGTTTATTACAATAATAAAACCGAAATATAATTATATCTTTATTAATGACTTGACGTTTTGTATGCTTTGCAAGATTCGTGTTCACGGGGGGACAGTCAGTAGTAATATTAAATTGATTTTTATATTTAACTAGCTGATCCGTTTTTGTTGTTTGCAAGGTAAATATTATTGCTGATACAACTTCAACAAATAATTAATAATAATGCATTTATTTCCAAATTTGAATTCCATAAAAACGCTTCAATAGTTAGTCTTAAACGATAGACATATAATGTCGCGTTTATTTTTATATATTTAAAAAGGAATCATACTTTCATACATATTTTCGGTTTCTTAAACCGTTCTCACAGCGCACGCAACAGAAACCGTCAAAGATGAAAAAAATCCCTACTTGTCCCCATTTTCCACTGTGTCCTCGCTTCTATTGATCACAGTGTGATGTCTTATAGCCTATCTATCTACCGACAAATGCTCTAATCAACACAGAAATAACTTCTCAATTCAGACCCGTAGTGTCTGAGATTAGCACGTTCTAATAAACTCTTCGTTATATTAGTAATGATTACATTTTTATCTTAGGTGGCCACCAGTGACAGGCACAACTGCCAAGTCGCGATAAAAATTATAAGCAAATTCCAAGCGCCCGGCGATTACTTGAAGAAGTTTCTGCCACGGGAGATCGAGGTTGTGAAGGGGTTGAAACATGAAAACTTGATACGTTTCCTACAAGCAATTGAGACCACGCATAGGTTACAAACAATGCGATCTAACTAGATGATTTGAAAATTATACAATATAATTTAAAAATCGAAAATAAATTAAAAAAATTTCGCCTCGGACAGGACTTGAACCGGCATCGTCAGCCTTCCGTGCTGTAGCACTACCAATTTTCGATTTTTAAATTATATAGTGCCTTCATGTGTAAAAAATAAAAAAGATTTCAAATCTTACAATAGTTTAGTAGCTAAACAGTAGTATATTTTTTACGATAGAGGAGAACAGACAAGCATGAGAGAAGAACCCCGTTTGGGGTCTGACGGTAGCTATGTATGACTAATAATCACATTAATCAATTTATAATTTTTCTCTCATCTCTGGAAATCTGGTGTTAAATGTGTGGTAGGAATATCGAAATGCCGCCCAGGTCATGAACCATCGTCCACGGATGTAAACGCTGTGAACTTTATTCTTATTTAGACTATGCAATCCTCCTTTGGTCTGCTATATAAGGTTAAGTAACCAAATGAAAAACTATTTGGGTTTTCGAATTGTTGGGCCGCCGTGATTTGTCATTCTTCCCTAATGGTGTCATGGCGAAATGTCGACCAATTCTCAATTACGGTCGGTCGACGGTCGAAAACCATATAAACACGAGACGCTTTGCCAAATAGCCCCGAAACCTGGTATGTTATTTTTTCATTGATTCTGTCTTTGTTTCCAGGGTCTATATTGTCATGGAGTATGCTGAAAACGGTAGCCTTTTAGACATCATTCGTAAGGACCAGCACATTGACGAATCTAGGGGGCGGCGATGGTTTCGACAACTCGTCGAGGCTGTTGACTATTGTCATGAACGGGGTGTTGTGCATCGGTTAGTATTCATTTATATTTAATACACAATACCTCCAAATGATATCCTATCCAATCTCTATCCAATGAAGCGCAAAGGACGTATTTTATAAACGAGGCCAGACAAACATGGGGTTCGCTTGATGGAAGTTGAATACCCCAGCCACATAACATCTCAACAAGATGCGCTATCGACCTATTTAGGCTTTAGATATCCTATACATACGTGCGCACAATGTGATAAAAAGGTTCAGCTGTTTTCAAAATCAAACTCAAACCAATTATTTTACAAGACATAATAATAAGTTATTTATTCTGTCTCGTTTATATATACTTAGTATTAGAGTGACCTAACTAAAAATTTTAGTAAAATTAGATAAATGACTGACATTACTATAATAACGCCATCATATTTTATAATTTAAAATTTTTTTTTAATAGTATTAATATTTAGCTTAAATAATTAACATTTATAAAAAAAGAGAATGAAGAACAACAAAAAATAGAGACTTGGACGTGTGCTTGTGAAATGGGGAAATGCACCGGCATCCCAGAGTAGAGAAGAAGCGCCCGTTTTCAGCGCCCCCCTGGGGGAGAGTTTTGTAGGATTCCCCTTACGGAACCTGAGAAATGTATATTCTTGACTAGTTAAAATAAAATAATTTTCATTAAAAAAAAATATTTACTTCGCTAACGATAATACAGCTATTTATTGAGATGTAGCTAAATAAAAAACAATTAATGTTTATTTAATAATTTTGAAATTCGGTACCAATTAACTTGCCAACTATAAAATAATTATTTAATCAATCACGAAGTTATTTGCGAAGAAACATTAAAAAGCAAGTCCTCTTTTTTTGAATTCCGTTAATCTCCCCAATAATAACGCTAATTGTTGTAATACTTGTCTCCTTCTTGTAATCTTGTAAAACTAAATCACAACTCCAAGACTTAATACACGTATATTATGTATTTTAGTGATATAAAATGCGAAAACCTACTGATGGACCATGGCCTGAACATAAAGCTATCGGATTTTGGCTTCGCAAGAGGTCACATGAAGCCCAAAAACGGTGTCTTTGCCCTGAGCGAAACCTTCTGCGGTAGCTACGCATATGCCTCTCCTGAGATATTAAAGGGGGTGCCCTATAGACCTCAGGACTCGGATATTTGGAGTACGGGAGTAGTTTTGTACGCGATTGTCTATGGTCGATTGCCATTCGACGATACAAACTACACTCAGCTTCTTAAGGTAACCGTAGAAGTAGTTTACAAAAAAAAAAAAAAAAAAAAAAAAAAAAAAAAAAAAAAAGAAGAAAAGGGGGGGGGGGGGGGGGGGGAGAGAGGGGGGGGGGGGGGGGGGGGGGGGGGGGGGGGGGGGGGGGGGGGGGGGGGGGGGGGGGGGGGGGGGGGGGGGGGGGGGGGGGGGGGGGGGGGGGGGGGGGGGGGGGGGGGGGGGGGGGGGGGGGGGGGGGGGGGGGGGGGGGGGGGGGGGGGGGGGGGGGGGGGGGGGGGGGGGGGGGGGGGGGGGGGGGGGGGGGGGGGGGGGGGGGGGGGGGGGGGGGGGGGGGGGGGGGGGGGGGGGGGGGGGGGGGGGGGGGGGGGGGGGGGGGGGGGGGGGGGGGGGGGGGGGGGGGGGGGGGGGGGGGGGGGGGGGGGGGGGGGGGGGGGGGGGGGGGGGGGGGGGGGGGGGGGGGGGGGGGGGGGGGGGGGGGGGGGGGGGGGGGGGGGGGGGGGGGGGGGGAGGGGGGGGAGGGGGGAGGGGGGGGGGGGGAAGGGGGGAGGGGGGGGGGGGGGAAGAAAAAAAAAAAAAAAAAAAAAAAAAGGGGGGAGGCGGGGCGGGGGGGGCGGGGGGGGGGGGGGGCACCGCGCCGCGCGGGGGGGGGGGGGGGGGGGGGGGGGGGGGGGGGGGGGGGGGGGGGGGGGGGGGGGGGGGGGGGGGGGGGGGGGGGGGGGGGGGGGGGGGGGGGGGGGGGGGGGGGGCGCGCGGAAAGGAGAAGCACGCGGGGGGGGGGGGGGGGGGGGGGGGGGGGGGGGGGGGGGGGGGGGGGGGGGGGGAAAAAAAAAAAAAAAAAAAAAAAAAAAACCACCCCCCCCGCGCGGGCGGCGGGGGGGGGGGGGGGGGGGGGGGGGGGGGGGGGGGGGGGGGGGGGGGGGGGGGGAAGAAAAAAAAGGGCGGGGGGGAAAAAAAAAAAAAAAAAAAAAAAAAAAAAAAAAAAAAAAAAAAAAAAAAAAAAAAAAAAAAAAAAAAAAAAAAAAAAAAAAAAAAAAAAAAAAAAAAAAAAAAAAAAAAAAAAAAAAAAAAAAAAAAAAAAAAAAAAAAAAAAAAAAAAAAAAAAAAAAAAAAAAAAAAAAAAAAAAAAAAAAAAAAAGAGGGGGGGGGGGGGGGGGGGGGGGGCCGGCGGGAAAAAAAAAAAAAAAAACAAAAAAAAAAAAAAAAAAAAAAAAAAAAAAAAAAAAAAAAAAAAAAAAAAAAAAAAAAAAAAGAAAAAAAAAAAAAAAAAAAAAAAAAAAAAAAAAAAAAAAAAAAAAAAAAAAACCCCCCCCCCCAAAAAAAAAAAAAAAAGGGGGGGGGGGGGGTTTTTTCCCGCGGGGGGGGAAAATTTTTTAAAAAAAAAAAAAAAAAAAAAAAAAAAAAGGGGGGGGGGGGGGGGGGGGGGGCGCCGGAAAAAACCAGGGGGTTTTTTTTGGGGGCGTTTTGGTAAAAAAAAAAATGGAAAAAATTTTGAAAAAATAATAATAAATAAAACATAAGTACACATTTAAATAAAACACTTTTAATGGTTTAAAATGCTAAATAATATAGTAGGTAACTTATTAACAATTTACTTTAACTACGTTTACCTTACCTTTCTGCTGCTGAAGTTGTGAATTCCCGTTTTAAACCGTTACAAGTTTTTTTATTAAATGTAATTAAGTACATTAAGGAATACACAAAACAACGGACTTAAATATTTCCGCTGTCGATCAAGTTAAAATCACTGAGTAGCATTAAGAATATGTGTTTCTGATTCGATATCTGGTAAAACATAACAGTTTGGGAGGACAGGGCACAGAATTCGACAGCTTTAGTATAAAATTGAGAAAATAAGGTTTTATTGCAATTTGATACAATGCCACACATAGGGGCAATGGAAAATTATGCCTTAAATATATGCCGTATAACAACGACGATACCATTTCATAGAAATCGTTATAGTTACCTATTTATAATAAGAGTTCGTCCCACACACGATAAACATACTTCTTCTTTCCTTATTTTTTCTTTTCATAACAATAGAATTCGAAAATATATGAAATGTGGATTTATTTCGCTCTGTTGACACACAATATTACTTACCATACTTACTCCGCTGGCGCAGCCACTTGTAAATAAAAGATTAATAATTTTTATTTACAAGAATCATTATCAATGTCTGTCAGGTTAAGTATTGCAAAAAAGCGGGAACGTGTAACTACAAAAACCACAGAGTAAAAATATCATAAATGTCAATGTTTAGTCTGTGACCCCCACACTTTACTCAAATAAAGGCCCGCTTTACCACATTTCCTTTTTATCTGTGTCGAGTAAATAAAACAATATTTTCAGCAAGTTCAGAACAAAGTATCGTTTCCTCGGGATCCGAAAGTTTCCGCAGAATGCCGCAAGCTAATTACAAAAATTTTGGCGCCCCTCAAAATCCGCGCTAAAATACCGCAAATACTCGCTGACCCCTGGCTATGTCCCAACCAACCTTGTAAAGATGAAGATACAGATACAAACCAGGTAATTTGTGCTAGTATGTTAATTTTAATAATATTTAGTTACGTTGAAAATTTAAAGCTTCGTTCTCAGCTCCAAATTCAAAAGTATGTATTTTTATCTATACTAATATATAAAGTCGAAGAGTTTGTTTGTCTGAACGCGCTAATCTAAGAAACTACTAGTTCGAATCGAAAAACGAAGGTTATAGTTATAAAAGATCCTACTGTGACTAAAAGGAGCGAAGAAACAGCGGGAAATGTAAAAAAAAAAAAAATTTGGATGGAAGAAGTCTGAAGCTAGTTTATTATAAAACTAGGGGTTTTATTGTGTGTTAACGATATTTTTTTATAACTATCTTTCATTGAAATATGTATACCTCGTAATGCCTCTTCAAATTACAATGAACTAGGTCCCACTAATATCTTGATTTACTCGATATATAATTGAATTTTCCTAGGAGGCCGCCCACGCGAGCAAAGACGAAATAAAAAGCGTTAATATTGGCACAGTAACGTTCGACCGGAAATTAGAAGAAGTCAAATGATACGAGATAGAAAAATATTTTTGTAAAAACTGTATAATATATTTTTTATCACAGCTATTCTGTATTTTTTGCTTGAATAGAATTGGTTTTTGCGAGGGTATAGATCACTACATATATTTTTATATACTTCTTTACAGTATCAAATAAATTCTTAGATTCTATTTTAAACTTATTTGAAGAAATACCTTCTACTGATTCACTCTAAGATACATAATAAAAACATAATTAAACCTTGACACGCGTTTAATATTTAAAGTGAATAAAAATATTTATTAAGTATGGCAATTCAAGCAAGAAAATTAAGTATTCATAATACAGACTTTATTTGCCTTAAGTTTACTAAATGTCAACGTATTTCTAGGAGTATAATTAAATTTATTAAATACGAATATTAATCATGCTTTTAATAGCACGTATAGTATCGATCAATAAAATAAATAAATACGACAGTTCTTGGAACATCGAAGATGTTTCATAAATTTAAAGTGATCCCAAACGTATTTCAACACTTAAGATATATGACCGATTAGCTTCTAAGGTGAAATATCCTAACGATTAAACATCTAAGGGTACGTTGGCGACGTATTTTGGCTTTGGACTTCACACTTTTCCACGCATTTCCTGCATGTAGCGGTTCTAGCGCGGCCCCCTTTGTACTATCGTGTTTATTAGTTACAAATAAATCGTATTCAAGTTAAGTTTTGCGGCTTACTTCTAAAGAGCAGTTTAAAAGTAATAATTATTTCACAGAATCGTTTTAGTATAAACCTAACGTCTAAAACGTGTACAAACATTACTTTTTGTAGTATCCAAGTCTAGTCCCTTATATCTATTATAAAAAAAAATACTTTGTATAACTAAGAGTTTTTAGACTTCATTAGGCCTTTACAAAACTCTTCATCGTCCTTTCCTTGTTCCGCTGCCGCCTTTTCATTGGCCCTCGCTTTGGCTATACATAAATAAGACAATCCGATCATAAGCAAATAAATGACTGCTCCTATCCAGCAGTTCATGGCTATCTGGAAAAGGACAGTCGATACTTCAATACCTACAGTTCCCTCCAAACTTTTTGGCCGGGCTGAAGTTCGGGCGGATGGTTGCGCAGTATGCAAAATGCAGGTATCAGTTGCGACGAAGGGGGACCCTTCGCGGGTGCAAGGCGACTCGACATTTTGCTTAAAATTGACAGTACCATGCCCAAGATGGCGGTCGCGCTAACTTCAGACGGGGCAAAAAGTTTTAAGAGAACTGTAGATGTAATATCACATTGGATTAATGGTGTAGCGGCCATTTTGAAAAAGGGAGAATTGAGATAAAACGTCGAGAACCGTTACTCAATAACGACGGCTTTTTTTATAATATATTACCAGACTATAATTTTTCTCTGTCTGCTTCATGAAATCTTCGAAATCCTCATAGCTATGGTGTTCGGGTTCGGCTTCCTCTATAAACGCAACCACTTCAAGCTTAAAGAATATTCCCATTATTACCTGAAAGTAGATATCCTTTTGAATTGAATGGTAGTGGCAAGTACTGTAATATGCAAACCAATACTCAGCGCTAGACGGAAGTGATTGCTTGGACCTGCACGGTAACGCGTTACGTAACGGAGAGGTTTACCTTCTCGCAAGACGTTTCTAACTTCAGTATGTACAATTAGAAATACTACATTTTATTGACCATCTGTTATTGTAAATATTTGTATATAAAAATTAACATGACCTTCAAATGTTTTTGTATACTCTACTAAACGCACTTACCAACTGAACTACTGCCCAGATGCTCAGCAGCATGCAACAAAGCCCACAATTAAAAAGTATACTCATTTTTATTTATCCTTGTGCTGTCTTACCGATATGTATAAATAATTCGTCTTTTGACAAGTTTTCCAATTGTGTCATAAAATCTTGTAAGCCAGTATCAATTTTAAAGAATTCTTTGATTTTACAAACATGACTGTGTATTATAATCTAATTACCTAAGCATTTGTACTGGCAAAAATGGTGCTTAAGTACCTATAATCTTCTTCTTGTTTAAAAAATAAAAATTTTGCTACATACCTAATTATTACTAATTTACGCAATTTATCACTTTATAGGGGTGAAAACACAATATGTATATTAGTTAAATTATGGTTAATTCATCTTAACTACCACCCGACCCTCAAATATGTTTGCGACGGTCGTGATTTCGGTTTAATTTTTAGTAAAATAAAATAAAATACTTTATTCTCTTTAAAATTTTAAAAATTTAAAGAGAATGAAGTAACAAACTTAAAATTTTTTTTTTTTTTTAATGTTCGTTCGTCGTGTTCAAAAGAGCAACATAACCGATTCTACAGAGTGTTCAAAAGAGCAAAATAAACAAGAACAACCCAAGAAACTCAGTCCGGCTTTTTTTAAAATGTCTTATAAACTAAGACATTGTTGTGAATTTATTAAACTAAGGAGCAATTCATATTACTGCCAGGCGGTCTTGTCATTAAATAAATCGTTCAGACAATAATACGTCTTTTGAAACAATCAAAATTTTATACCTTTTTTAAATTTATTTATCGATAATTTTGAAACCTCAACTGGTAATGTAATACATACAAATACAATTCCCCGCAAATGTTAGCTAGTTTATCTCTATTTCTTAAGTTCAAGTTATGCCTATCACAATTCTTGCTGAACTTGCTTTTGGGCAATTCTTATGGGCATACAATACATTTTCATTAATATACCGCGAGTACACGGTAAGTATGCCGATATTTTTAAAGGCATCTCTGAAATGACTCCCGAGATCCTATACCACAGATAGCCCGGACTGCCCTTATTTTGCAACACAAAGATACATTTAATGTCGCCAGCATTACCCCACAGTATGCCTTATGTCATAACACTGTGAAAGCAGCTAAAGTTTAGATGCGCTGTTTTAGTTTGTAATATATTTCAACATATTAAATATACTACTAAAATCAAACACAATACTAAAGTAACATTAAAACGTTTATTTCAAGAAAATCTAAAGCATGATTTCACATTTTCCTACAATTAAATAGATATTTTATGTACAATTATTTATAACATTTATTCGGCGATATAATACTTTGAAACTTAGACACAATTTGTAATTATTAACATTGAAATTATAGTACAAGGATACACTCAGGATCGTTAAACAATTGTGCCAGTGTATGAATTTAGAAATCTCCAAGTTTTTTTACACCATCAATTATGATTGAATCTATATTTTCATGTTTCATTAATAAGAATTATGCATCTATTGTATAATTTAATAAGTTAGCTCGGTCAGGAGGTTAATACCCACATTCTGTTCCCGGTTACTCTGGACCTTCATTAAATAAATGGAATGGAACTATGTAACAGATGTACTCCAGTACATTTACATGCTCACTGACGAGCGGTTATTCATCCAGAATTGGTGACCAGAGACAACAAGTGTGACTAGGTATAGCAAGGCAGCAATCCAACAATTTTGAGCATTCTGAAATTTTTAAATATACGTATCAATAACCATTTTATTACAGGATTTTGCAAATGTCATTTACAATTGTTTAGTATAATTTAAAGACAAAATATAAATCACGTGTTCAGACTGCCTCTGACCAAAACAGTCCAGATAGTAAAATGAAAAACAAAAGCACATATTTTTTATTTCAATTATATTTCTTATAAAGACTGTTAAAGTGCTATAATGTAGAAAAATTAGAGAATAGTTAATAAAGAGTTCCTATATGTTTATCCCATATCTATGCTGTGCTGTATATTATATTACTCTGTCAAATAAAGAGAACTAGTACCCATGGTCTAAGGCAATTGCAGTTACTTGGTTTAAAAGAATATTTAAGTTTAATAACTGTATTCCTAATTGTAAAGAAATTTATGATCAAATTCCTCAGTGTCAGAGATTCTTGCAAATGAGGTAAATAGGGTGTGAAGTAAAAAAATTAATAGGTCTTGCTAATTAGACCTTGGAATCGTGAACCAAATTAATGACAAATATGCACCAGGTACGATATTTAGGATAGCTTCTGCAGCAAGAATTTATTAAAGTTTATTGGACAGTAACAGTCTTAAAAATGATTAATTAAACAAATATAGTTACCACTGTGTATCCATATTCAACTTGACCAATGAAGTGGTCTATGTCGTGGTGGCCACCTTCCTCATCAAGAGGCAGGTCTTCTAATAATGCGACTGCTCTAATATGATAGAAAACGCCCATCAAGGTCTGAAAAATACATAAAACTATGAAGCACCGATGTGACCCAGGGAATTTGAGCTGTTAGAAAATCACTATTTACTTACCAGTTGGATCACGCCCCAAACACTCAGAACTAGGCCGCATAGCGACAATTTTGGGCCACACAATTTACAAACCATTTTGTTCGTTTGCTTTAATAAAATTTACGAACAAATAAATGTTAAAGTAATCGACCACTGCCTGTCAGAAAATGTCAAAAATCGCAGAAGAAGACGATACTCACATGATTTATCAATGTTTATGGTTAGAATCGTTATGGTCTATATATCTTGTCTCTGACTTTTTATTATCTAAACTTCTTAGTTACATGCTTATTATATTTATTAGAAATTTTAAAAGTTTCTTTCTAAAATAAAAATAACTCGCTATTCGTAAGTATTACATAAAAATAGTAAAAACCTTTAATTCTAAAAAATCGCATTTTGTCTACTTTGACAGTATGTCAAGTCATACATATGTCAGCGTGCCGTCAACTTTGCGTAGGTGTGATCTGTGATTTCAGACTTGTGCTTGTACGTAAAAGTAATTTTGAAAAAGAAAAGTTTTTATAATGGTGGACCGTTTAGGTAGAGTTTTTAGTTATTTATCCTGTGATTATACCTCTTCATATTTCAACTTGTTTTATAGTATTCTCGTGTGCGCCAAGAGTAATATCTGATTAGATTCATAAAGATGATCCTTGTCATTGTTTGTTCATTTCCAACTTTCCTTTGACGTCAACTTTAATATTATAGCGTAGTTTTTCATTAAAAACTTTATTTTTCCAGTCAATAGTGAAGCTAATGCTAGAAGAATTGCAATGGTGGAGAACTGCTTCGGCAGTTCGGGGCAGGTACGTGTTTTTATCTTAAATAACAAAATGTATACTTTCAAAGTTTACATCACTGCTTATCAACCGACAGTCGGCAAGATAAATTATTTGTAGGCACTGGGTTGGCTTAACTGTAGATATAATTTTTTATCGACTTAATTCCTGGAATGACCTTTCCTAAGCAGCAAAAAAGTTTTAATCATAAGGACATGTATATAATTTGATGTTACATATAAGTTTTATAACTTTAAGCCCTTGGCGGAACAAGGTAGAGTTTTGGTTGGAGAAGGAGTCTTGACAAAAATGTGCAGAAAGAAACCCAAAGCAAGACAATTCTTCTTGTTCAATGATATCTTAGTTTATGGAAATATTGTGATAAATAAGAAGAAATATAACAAGCAACATGTTATACCTCTCGAGGAAGTGAAACTGGAGTCTTTGAAAGATGAAGGCCGTAAGTATTTTTTCTTAATGATTTATGTATAATTAACATTTTACCTTGCTATAATGTTATAAAAATTAAATAATATCATAACTAACACTTCAAATGTAAGTTTTTAATTTTCGTAACCCGTTGGTTAAGCACTGTATATTGCAAAAAATTTAACTCAACATTTATGTATAATGAATAGGTTATAATAGAAAAATATACTAATACTTAATATTTTGTTTTTAAAGCTTTATTTAAATATTTTATTGAATATTTGCTTTATACATTCATTTTTATGAGCTAAAAACAAAAATAAAAACCTTTTCAGAAAGATTTGAACCACTATCAAGTATATCAACCTAACTCATATGAGTCACTATATGAATCATAAATATAAATTATTTTTATCACTATTCCTATGATATTGTATGACACTGAATGTTGACCTACACCTACTACCTACAATCTGAGTCAACTAATGAATATTTATTCAAAGCACTGTCTGTCTGTACAGACAACATTTCACAACATTTCAGTTTGAAGGGTTGACCCTTTACATATAAATGCAAACTTTTTTGCAAATGTTTGTGTCTGCCTTCGGCAGCGGTGCCTTAATTTTGGGCCATTTCTCTTTCTATTAAACAAAGTTAAAGCTTGTCTGTTATAAAACTTGATATTATTTTTCAGAGTACCGTAACGGGTGGTTAATACGCACAGCGTCAAAATCGTTTGCGGTTTACGCGGCGACAGCGACAGAGAAAGAAGAATGGATGGCACACATAGAGAAATGCATTGAGGATCTCTTAAGAAAAAGTATGTCTAATTATTCATTTAATATTAATGATACAATGTTACTTATGTGGTTAGAAGACTATTTTGAAACTCAAGAGGTCAGTGAAAGTTAATTTATGTAAGTCTGTCGCAAGATGCAGACAATTGCCCAAGCACTTTTGATGTATTTACATGAATGCTCAAAGAATTTTTATTATGTTTAGCATTGAACATCTGATTAACTATAAGAATTCTAGCCCAAAGATGCATGATAAATGCTCTCTATAATATTCTATTGTGTCACCAGGTGGTAAACAGCCTCCATCGGAACATGCTGCTGTTTGGGTGCCTGACAATGAGGCGGCCATCTGTATGCACTGCAAGAAAACACAGTTCACTGTTCTAAATAGACGGGTATGATTTTTTTCAAATAAATACATAAGTGTTAATTGTGATCCGACAACCCTCTTTGAAAAGCTTAAAAACAAAGTTTGGATGATCCGCAGTCAAGTTTATATACACCAACAAGGCAACCATAAATACTGAATAGTATAAAAGATAGTCTTTATATCAGAAAATTGATCACCTCCACAGCCAAATGGTGTGAGTGTGAGATGTGGAGGGTTTGGTGGGGTAGTTTCACCAGGGAACCATAGATAGTGTCAATGAAGCAAGGCACAGAAGTCTGATAAACTACATGCTTATAAAAGAATTGATCATTGAAACAGATGCAGAAATGTGTTCGCCGCATGCAGCATGGAGTGGGGGGGACAAGACACTATATATTGTAGTTATACTTATGTTAGGCAATTATAATTACAAAAGTGTGTCTTCTATGGTTTTTTTGTGATAAAGGATTGAAAATCATGGCGTTTACTTGATGTTGCTCTAGCCATATAAAACCTCAATAAGATGCACTGTCGACCTATATTATGTTCTTTGAAGTCTAGTCAAGAGTTACTACATTCAATTTATGGCTTAAATCTTTGCTGCTAAATGCTCAATTATACTGGTATCGACAGCATCACTGCCGCAAGTGCGGCTCGGTAGTCTGCGGTCCGTGCTCGTCGAAGCGGTTCGTGTTGCGGACGCAAAGCGAGAAGCCACTGCGCGTCTGCCTCCAGTGCTACGACGAGCTGAACCGCGAGAAAGCAAGGTCTAATCAGGGTCAAACGTTAGGCCCCGGAGGTTAGTAATGGAAAATATAGATAATTCAAATCATTTGAAAACTTTAATAAAATAATTAAAAAAAAAATCGATTACGATATTAAAAAAATACGACACTAGCGAGACTGGTAGCTCAATTGGTTAGAGCAGCAGCACGGGAACCCTGTGGATGTCAGTTCAATCCCTGCCTGTGTCGTAAATTTTTAAATTATAATCATGCGCAACATTTATATACATACATATTATATAAAGAGTAAGTACATTGTTGGTTGGTGGATAATAATAGTGTTAGATATTTCTTTTATTCATTGTATATGTCCAAATAAAACACTTTTGACGGTTTAAAACGTGAAATATATTAGTGATGTTTAATTTATTTTAACTACGCCTAGACGTTGCTTTACTACAGGCTCTACAGGTTGACTATAAAACCTGGGATAAATTAAAAATAAGTTAGCTCGTATGTTTCGCATTTTAAACCGTTAAAAGTGTTTTTGTATGCGTTCTTTGTGTTCACACATATCGATTTAATTTACTAGCAGGTAGTTGAACTGACTAATGTGTCAGAGTACTTTCAATGGGATTCGAACTCAGGTCCTTTGCTTAACGCATTGTATTGCTAATCTGGCGCTTTACTATTGGTGAACTTGGAGATATTTATTATCTATTTATATTATTCAGCAGCGAAAGCTGGTGGTGATGGAGCCGGGTCAGGTGGTGACTCATCCCAAGATGATGACAGCGATGATGATGACGAACGACCAGTCGCAGAGGACAAACACGATGAGGTAAACAACCAATGTTATTGATATTGAAAAAACGTTACTTTTTAAAATACACAAGAACTAGTAACTTTATATTTATTTATTACCAAATACGAGTATGAATATATTAATTTTACGTTGATTCTTGAAGTTACTCTTAAATAAAACACTTTAACGGATTTTCATAACAGCCGTGGTCACAGGGGAACCGTGCAAGTGTCCAAAACCTAGGGCCGTGGTTAGAAAAAATCTTAAATTAGTTACCGAATATATTTCTCGTTTTAAACCGTTAAAAGTGATCTATTAAAATGTTTACTACTCGCGTACAGACAATACTTTAGACTGAATACCAAACTGTGTATGACTGGATTTTATGTTTTAGGGTTTCACAAGTTATAACGCTGTCAAAAATGGCTACAGCAGTAGAGTAACAAGTGTATAGTACAAACTCTTGTGTAAGTCTAGAATCTAGAGCACAACTTTCATGCTTTGATGGTCAATTGTTTTGGATGTGTTTTGTTTTTCCATCAACACCCTGTATAATATATGTTTATGAAGTATTGCTGTCTCTCTCTAATCTATGAATACGGTAAGAGACAGCAGCACTTTAGGCTCTAGGTGTTTGGACATACATTTTTCCATAATAGTTCTGTGTTATTGAGTTTGGTTTGGTTTTCACTAATGTTGTTTTGTTTTGCGTCATTTACAGTGTGTACTTATGACATGTCTGTCTTTGTTTAATAATTGTTTAACTAGATTGGAATCTGATGTTAATCTTAGGAAAGATATCACGTTTTATTTAAAGTTTTTTATAAAATTAGTATGTTTCTACTGTATATTTTAGAGAGAATAGACTAGTAATGGAACGGATAGTTGTTTGGCCAATATTGGATATTCGACCGGCCAAACGATACTTATGTACATTTTTGTTAGGCGCCGGCGCGTCGAGCAGGTTTAAACATACGTGTTACATATTGTTCTCTCTTTTTATTTGGTAACAATTATTTTATTTTATTAAAAATGTACGATACGCTACGATTGGTTGAATGGGTACCCAATACTGGTCATAGGATTTCTTACATACTTAAAATGAGGCTTTTTGATAAGTTTAAATAGTACGCTAATAGTAATAAACTAATTTTAAATATTTGTAGTATACATACGAACTAACAATTTTTCAAAGTTAAACACCAAACAGAATTACTATTCGGTATCCGGCCGGATAGTAAACCTGTCCGTTGCATCTCTAGTATAGACACAAAATATGATGTACATCTGTACTTAAAATAATCTATAATTAATGATATAATAATGATATTTTCAGCCGAAGTTCTACGGCGACGGTGAAAAGACTGAGGATAATACCAACAACCATTCGTCCAAGGAAACAACCAAGTGAACCAAACAGACCGAGATTCTACACCCGGTCTATAAATTATTACAATTTATTCGTATAATGTATATATCTTTGTGATGGGGCATTTAAAATTTTCATTACAGTTATAAGATGTGCGCAATGGTATTATAGTATACTAGCAATAATTAGGAGGGTAAACCGCTTCGTGACGTCACGAGTTACGTCTCCCTCTGAAAATAAACATAACTAACCCTTTTTATGCTTGCGTAAGTACCCACTTGATTATTATTCAAATTTGAGTTTTTTTTTTTTTCAATTTTATTAGCTATTTGAATGAAAATTCGTTTCTACTAGTTCTGCTAACATTATTTTTTAAACTTAAACTAGTTTTATGTAAAAAAAAATCCTTAAAACAACAGTAAAATGTATTTAAAAAACAATATAACGCAGTAAACTGCTTTATATAATTATTATGATTTCTATATGCTCACAGTTACATTGAAATCGAATTTATATACAAACACTTATGTGAAATAACTTTGCTCATTTCTTCTTATAATCGAATGACGAATTTATACCAAGACCACTATAAAATCATTGCGTATTAAAGGCCTTCTAGATATATAAAATAGGATAATTACGATATTATTACCATTTTTGTACTTTCTCTGACTACCCACATGCCAGAAAAATTATATATCGTAAATAAATCAAAAGAATGTTATATTAAAAATACCATATCGATTGCAATTGCTCTATTCGTACGATTTAAACTTGATCCAATTAATAGTTATGTCAATATATTATTTAATATTATTCTATTATCATAGTTTATATTTTGATACTAAATTGTTGAATTTCCGAAACGTTTTATACATAAGCGGTTTATGTTTAAAACCAATAGTACAAAATAGTTTTTGAATGTAAGAGCAGCTCTTCAAGTCAACGTGCGCAGGAGTGGAATTCCGGAAGACATGTATAATTTTATCTTAAAACACAAATTTGTTTTTTTTTACACAAACGCACATCATTTTTTGTATTCTTCAACACAGTCGTCTCCAGGTTAAGCTTTAAACATAAACCGGTTAGGTATGTATTTGTATATTAGAATTTAGTTGTAAGAGGTGCGACGTTTTGCATACCAATTATTATCGAAGAATATAATAAATAGGCTTAGATTAAGATATTTGGTTAATTAAAAACAATTAAGTTATTTATAATTATTGATTTAAAGCCTAAATGTTAACGTTGCGTTGTTTCGTTTCCGATAAGACGGAACGCGTATTGTTTAGTTTTTGGTTGACAAAATATACAAGAATATTTTTTATGTATTGACGTTTTATTTCGGATATTTGTGCACAAGGTTAGTATTATATATTTAAAGCAGCAAATTATTTCTTAAATAATAACTAAAATGTTTCGTGTTTTGATCCGTTATGTTACGTTGTTTCAATGTAATATAAAAATGTAGTGCCCCCTGCAACATTGCAGAATACATATTTTTGAATGACATTGAATGTGAACAGGTTTTTTATAAAAATTCTTTAAAGTTTTATCCATACTAATGACGAATGTATGGTCAGTTTATAAATGGCACTAAACAGCGTATTGATCTTATCGCCAGTACTTGCAATTGGCTAAGTTAAGGATAAAATGGTATGAAATAAAACAACAATATGAAAAGGTGTATATATATTATAAAAAAAACATGTCCTCTTATTTATAATAAACTTATAACTTAACCTAACACACGATCTTAGTACATTAGGTAATGTAAACTTATATAATAATCAGTACCTGATAATTGCAAACGTCAATTTAAAGCACATAGTATGCGCATACGCAGCTTATTACTAGATAGATTCTTTCTTTATATTCTATGTAGATGTATTTGCTGCCAATTCGAACCATTGCCTCAGCGCATCGCCAAGAACAGTTGGAAGCGCTGACAAGTCTCTTAATATAAGATAGAAGGGGAAAGGGAATGTGTCCAAGTAAGGAATGAATCCAGTAAGGGCGTTTGTCACTGGATCTAAGAGAGGGCGCCGTATGTCCATTATTGAATCCTGAAAAATAATTAAATGACACTGTAAGATAACTAAAGTGAAATCTCAATTCCCCCTATGCGGCAAACACACTTCTGTGTCCATTTCAATGATCGATACTTTTACCAGCAAGTAGTTAATCAGATTTCTGTGCCCGACCGACCGACAATATATTGTTTCCTCAGGTTTCGAACCCAGGACCTCGCACACTTAACTCAATGCTAGGCAACACGTATAAGCATTTGGCTAGAGTAAGAAAACTTTATGGCCGTATATATTTAAGTTTTTGAGAGGCAAGGAAAAATTATTTTCCGTCCAGACATTTTTGTCGTTTCCACAGAAAATACCATTCCAAAAATGTGAAACCAGCACCCACAGCGTTCCATGCCGTGGCTCCAAACAATTGGGCTACCGTGTCTTATACAAAATCGATTTTTAACTTACATAGTATCATCATGTGAAACACGTTAAAAAGCAAAAAAAATCCTACCTTATTATCCGGATTGTCAATAATGACGTAAACCAAGAATATCCCCTGTTGCCTCGCGCGTCTCACGGCTTGTAGAACCCTCGTCTCCCCTTCAGAGAATATGCCCCGCCCATCGCTCACAATGACCAATAGCTTCGCGTTGATCGCGTCACTCCTGACCGACTGCTGGTCGAACATAACCGTACAGAAGTCGAGCAATTGCGCAATTTTGGTCTTCGTCTGCTCAAAACAGAGTTGTTCTAGGATTTTTGAACCTGAATGTTCCGAGAATTGCTCGTTGAACGAATGTAAGAGGTTGGGTTTTTCTCCAAAGCTGAGTACTGCGAGGTCGCCGGATTCGAGTAGATTTAATGCCTGTAAAAAAGTTATTAAGTTGCTTAATAAATAATTGGTAGGGAAATCACCTGTAGGACAGGTCTATCATAATAATCCACCTCTATCATAAAAAAATACATCATAAAAACGTATCATGTTTTACAATTCATGGTTTAAAGTGTACAGGACGTCTCCTTTCAGATCAAATGTGGTACTTTCACATCTCGTTAAACCTAGATTCGATTCATACCCACTTTCATCATGTGACAGTGTGTCTAGCTTGACAAGTACTGTCACTCCATTAGTTAAAACAACTAGTCCAGTTAAATGTTTAAGATCTCACATTCTTTTAATAACAGCAAAATCAAAGAAATGAGAGTCTAATACTCGTTCAATTTTGCATAGAAGTTGGCACGTAGACCACCATTTTATGGTGCAGCCAAGCCAAGCATAATTTTTGTATTGAACTTGGCCCTCCTTTACATTTATGTTTTTGGTGGGATCCTTGTTACCTGTGAAACCAGCGCCAAGCTCTCGAAGGCCAACTCTTTGCTCCTATTGTCAGCCATCGAACTAGAATCATCGACAGCTATCGCAATGTGGTACTCCCTTCGCGCTGGCTTTGTCCGCCTGAGCCAAATGCGATCTTTTCGGAAGTGGGACGCGATGTACGGAATCACACGACGCATGTTGATCGCGCGACCCGTGCGGAAGTCACCTTTAAAGAAATATCAATTAAATGACATGTAGTTTACGAGTAGTACACATTTACATAAAACACTTGTAACGATGCAAAACGCGAAATAAATTAGTTTCTTCATAAAGTAAGGATATATAAATAACACAATTTGAACGGTATAAAATATAATAAAGTAAATATATTAGTTAACTTATTTTAACTACGGTCCAACGTTTTGGATTTTTTGCAGCAGCCCAATCACGGGGTACTGAAGATGGAGGGTGTTCCTAAAGAGAATCTGTTAAGCTAGCGCCATCTCATATATTTCGCATTTTTTGACAGTTAAATGCTTTATTTTAATTATTGTTGCGCAAATGCTACAAGTATGACCACAAGTCCTCTATAAACCTACATAATATATAAAAAATAAATTGTATTTCAATTACTACAATTATTTTTTTTGTTTACTACTGATTACATTCCACTTTCGGTACAACTGTACGAAAGTGATATTGTTGTTAATATAATGCATATTATGTTTTAGTTATACATACCAGCTCTACGCGAGCGTCCTGTAGGTTCAAGGACGAGACGCAACTTCTCACAGAGGGCTCTGGACGCAGTGGCGGTGTCTCTCCAAGCGGCACGCCACGCTGCACTCGACTGTACTCCGCTGCGCACTCCACCCGACTGTACCCAGTCGCGCATGCTTATATACTGCTCCCTTGATATTTCTTCTGCTTGTTGTGACGATTCTTCTAACCTGAAATACGCATTAAGGAGTTTTACGCTCATTGCAGGTAATAGATATATGAGTAGTTAAAGAGTGTTAGAGAGTTTAAATAAAACACTTTAACGGTTTAAAATCCGATATATACATATTGCACTTATTTGGAAATTATTTTAACTAGAAGGTTGTCACTGTGAGAAAAATTCCGGACTTTTTTGATAGAGAAGGACAACAAGATGAATTACTCCATATAACATCTAAACTACATAAGCTGTCGACCTAGGTTGCCTTTGGATATTCGGAAATATACAGACTGAAACCGAAACGCGATTAAACATGCCGGATTCTTCTATCTATATGTATATCATGGGCTCTTTGTTGGACGGGAATGTTTAACGGGAAATTATTTGACTTTATTTATATTATATGCCTGCCAGTCTGGGTAAGAGTTTAATCCTATTAGTTACACTATGAAAAGGTGTATGTTTTCTAGATATTTTACATACCTCGATGGACAAATAATTTTAATAGTTATAACTTTATTAATCTACCTGGTGTGATATGTAGTATCCCGACCCCTAGATACAGTACTTGTTAGAACAGCATCGCCTTCCACTTCCAAACCGGTATCACCTGTAGGTTCATCACCGGTTTCGTTCTTATTTCCAGACTTCTCTTTATCTTTTTCAGGACCATTTTTCATCTTCTCTGGCTTACTTTCTTCTGATTTCTCAACCTAAGGATAAAATTTAACTCGTTAAGTAACAACTCTTAACAGTTGTAATATCACGTTACAATATATGGTATCCATTGTAAAAAATAGTTTATCCTTAAGTGTAAGTATATTTCATAGTACCCGTTCTAGTCACTACTTTCACAAGTGAAGTAGTTTTAGAAGGTATAATAATTTCATGAATTTTCAAATTTGGTTTATAATAATACAGGGATTTCGATGGGTTTTTGATGATGATTTTGAGGTGTTTTAGGTGCACTAACTTACCTGAATGTCTTCATCATCCACGTCCATTGGAAGGTTTTCGTCTTCCTTTAATTTATCGGCTTCTTCCTCTTCTTTCTGCAGGGTCGGCTGTTGATCCGCCTGTTCTTTGGTTGCTGAATCCACTGCCTAACGATAGAAAGAATATTTTGATGTCGTATGTCATCGAAAAATTTGAACAACTATTTTTTTATTAACTAGAATACTCTGAATGGTTTTCATATCACTGTGATTTAATATATTTACCTGTAAATCATCCTTTTTAGCCTGTTTAACGTGTTGAAACGCGTCCGCCTCACTGTCATCGTTGCCTTCTTCCCCGCCCTCCTCTTCGGCGTCTTCGCGTTCTTGGTTCAGCGTTTGAGCTTGCTTATGTTTTTTGTCGTTCACGTCACCTGTTTTTTTTTATTCTTTATTTAGTAACACACTGACAGGTGACAACAATACTGTTAATTAAACACTATTTCGAAAGTGCTCACATAGTTAAGTGCACCCGTTTTAAGCAAATAATATAATGTTTAGCTTTTGTCGACAAAAAGAAGACACATATTATATTAATTGCAAGCAATAAATTTCACCTCCACTCATAACAGTTGTTGTTTAAATTACATTATACGAGAGATCAATGGATAAGCAAATTTTCTCTCCCATCAGAGTAAAAAAAATTAACCTTTAATTAATGTCTAAACAAAAAATTGCCATTCTTACCCAATGTCCGTTCTTGGTCTGTCTTTCCAGGTTTGTTTTCACGTCTAGACTGTTCTTTGTGAGAAAGATCCGATTTAGCTGCTTGCTTCTCTCCGCGATGTCCTTTATCGCTCTTATCTAACTCTGAACGGCCAGTGGACTGTTTATCTTCACCTACTTGTTCTTGAGCTTGCTCCTGATAAGTTTTAGTAATTTTTTTCATTAATATTATCGTAATATAAGTCTGAAATTATTTTTTGAGTTCAATCTGCTATCTAGTCTGTTAGTAAGATGAATTGGAAGACTTTGAGAATTGCTCAAAAGTGTCATTCCTGCTTTAGCAGGAAGGATCTTTACTTTTAAATCTGTTTATTTGATATTGAAGCTAAATTAGCTGAAAGCCTATATTATTTGAGCTTGAATTAATAAAATGTTTCAACCAAAAATCATAGAACAAATATTATTTTTCAATAATCAATTACTAATATATATTTTAGCAATAAAATTTTTACAATCGAAAATAAATTGAAAAACCCAAAAAGGGGGGGGGGGGGGGAAAAAAGGGGGGGCCGGGGCCGCCCGGGGGGGGGGCGCTACCAATTGAGCTACGGGGTCCTACCTCACATTTTTAGAAAAAAAAAAAAACCCCCCCCCCCCGGGGGTTTTTTTCACCAACAAAACTCGGGTGTTGGGGGTTGTAAAAAAAAAAAAAATTTCAATTATTTTTCAATATTATAAATGTCTTATGTGCAATAACATGTGAAAAATATTAAGTCATATCTTGAATTGTTCTTCCTTAATTATGAATAGTGGCATGACCAAACTTACATATGGCGCGGCGTCTTCATCCATAGCCTGATCTGGATTCGTTTCCACGTTATCATTAACACCTTTATCCATTTCCGCATTTTCGGCGCGTTCACCGGCTGAAGGGTCATCGCGGGAGGGATTAGCTTGGGGATTCGCTTCATGCTCCTTTTCCTCAACAGGATCATCCTCTTTCATAGCATCTGGGTTTTGTGGTAACTCGTCTTCTTGTTTTTCTTCTGGTTCTGTTTCTGTTTGGCTTGGTTCAGGCTGCGGTTGACTTTCCGTATCCATATTGGTTGAATCTTCCTCTTCCTCTGGTTTATCCTCTGAGGTAGCTTCTTTCTCCTTTTCGGCTTCCTGCTGCTGTTAAAAGTGGTTGTTACTATTATTTAGAAGTCATAGTTTGTAATAAATAGAAATTTAATATTAATAATAATAATATTGTTGTCGTAAAACATTACGTTAAGTAATGGAATAATAACCGTTTATAGAATAAAAATTCGACAGTTTAGAAATAATATATGTAAAGTTTTATACCTCTTTTTCTGTGTCCCCGTCCTCAGCAGCACCGTCTTCTTCATCACTAGAAACGTCTAAGCCAGTCCTATTTTCTTCCTTTTCCTCCGTTTTAGACGGTTCTTCTTCTTGTATGTTCTCTTTCATAACATCGATGTCGAATGGATTTTCCGTTTCTGTTTCACCTTCCTGTAAATGTGTGCCATGATTATTACAAACTCGTCATATAGAATATGAAGGACAGTTTAACACATCATTTCAAATTCACGTCATAAATCTCAAAACGATTATCACCGTCAGACAAAATCATAATCAAACAGTGAAAACTCTTACTTTGTCTTCCTCTCCTTCGTCTCCATCAGCGTTCGTATTTTCGGGCATTTCAAAGTCTTTTGGCTCCGGGTATTCTGGGTGATTGCCGTAGTGCGGATCCACCTGTAAAACAAATTAATTTTTGAGGCGCGTCTTAAAGTAATGTTTGAAATATATTTTTTTTAATTTTTAGCTATTAGCAAAAAGGATTACTTTAGCGTTAGACTTTTTATTTAGGATGGCTTATGTATAATATTTTATCTTTAGGCAAAGTATTGGTAATATTACCGTTGACAGTATGTATAGTATGTAATCGGGTTGTTGTGATACCCGTGTATAAATCAGTATATTAACAACGAATACATACTTGATCATCATCTACTTCCGGCTCATCCATTTCATTAATGTCTTTCTTCTTCTGTTTTTCTTTTCCATCGCCGCCATCATCTTGGCCTTCTTCTTGTTCTTTGGCACCCATCTCTTTCTCTCCAGTCTTTTCTCCTGCACCACGTTCTTCTTTTTTCTCTGTCTTAGATTTGTCTTCATCGTCCTCTTCATCTTCAGAACCCCATATTTGCTGGTCTAGTCTGTCAAATCAAATCGCTGTTAATCAAATAAGTCCCAAATAGATTTTCAGAATGATTTCAACAGTGTCCGTCGTATTTGTGGCGTATAGACTACATATATAAAATTAAGATGTATATTTATATTTAAATTAATTGCGAGTAAAAGCAAAACAATTAATACACACTTTTCTGCAGCATTATCAGTATCCCCCATTTGTTTATCAGCATCGTCGTTATCGTTTTCATTGTCAGAGTCTCCTTCTAAGAAATAAAACAATTAATTAGACACAATTGAAATTGGTTTTCGCTTTTTGATAAAACTCATTTGTGACATTGTAATTATAGAAACCTTTTTGTTCCACATCTTGCAAGTGCGAATCAAAGTCATCTGTCATATTGACTCCTTTCTCTTCCTCTTTGCAATCGCGTTCTTCTTCTTTCTTTTCTTCGCCAGGCCGGTGGGCATCGTCTAATTGATCCTATTTGAGAGCAATTAGGGTCATAAATATAAGTAGATACCGTTCAATACAAATGAAACAGAAGAATAAGTAATAATTTAACGCTCATTTATTTGAGCATTTCTCTCATTGTATACGATGATATAAGACGACTGAAGATATTTATAATAAATAACAAATTCCTCATAAGTTAACATAAAATATACCTGATTCTCGATTCTTTCCGATACATCTTTTTGGCCTTCTCCATCACCGAGTCCAGTGCCACCAGAAAGTTTTCCTGGGCCACCTTCACCCTCCCCGTCTTCCATATCCAAATCGGAAGGCTTACAAAAGCTAAAAATAGAATGGGTTAAAAACTGTCTATAGTTTACGCGAGTAGTACACATTTAAATAAAACGTTTACGTAAACGTGAAGCCGTGGTCACGGCTGCTGCAAAGCATCCGAAACGTCGGGCCAAAGTTAAAAATCATTTTCCTAATATGTTTAACTAATATATTGCGTTTAATAAAACACTTTGACGTTTTATTTAAATAGAATGGGTTTTTTTAATCACTGAAATCTTTTTGAAAATTTGAGTCCTTCCGGAGAAATAAATATTTTGTTTTCATCTTTGGAAATAAATGAGGTTATGTGAACTAACTTAAAATAACTTACCCTTTCGTGGCTAGGTCCGAAAAGATCTTAAGTAGAATAGACAACATCTTGCAAGATACCCGATGTACCGCGACCTTTTGAGATACAAAGTATTGAGCAAACAGTTGCAGTTGTTCCAATAGCGGCATAACTCTTACTATAACTGACTTAACATCTTCTAAACCCTGCTCAGTGGTTACGTATTCGATGCAAAGTGTGCATAAATTCTGTAATTTGTTAATCAAACATCCTAATTGTAACAGCTTTCCATCACTAGAGAGCTTTTCTTGCAGAAGCTCTTTCAGGTGATTGTCTTCGAGTATTTCTTTCGATTCTTCTGTTTCATCAAGATCGTCTACCTTCGAATCTGGAGACACGTGTTTCTTATACAGTGTCTGAATGATCAATAACATGTTCGCTACAACTTCTTCTGTTACTTGTAGCACATCTTTCTTGAGGTTTTCATTTAATACTTTAACTTTATTATTAGGCTTATCTAATGCTTGGATGTTTCTTATTGTGTTTGCAACGTAATGTTCAAAATCAACTAATCCTGCTAACACTGGGTGTAATGAAGACTTATCGTCGACCTTGTGCTTTAATTCAAATTTATATTCCTCTAGAATTTTGTTGATTCTTTCTCTTATTAGGCCCAAGCTTATTATACCGTCGTTAACTGCGTCGATATGGTTTTGTGATATGCTCGGAATCTCAAATGTACTCTTTCGAATTCTTTTAGGGACTGCGATTAGTTTAGTAACTGTATTGTTTTGTCTTTCCACTATCGCTATTACATATTTGACCTTTTTATACAACTCCTTCCATTCATCACTGCCGTTGTAACAGTGGGGAAGTAAAGAATTTGATAGTTCCTTATCGAATTCTGGTCCAGCTCCAGAACTAAAAGTGCTTTCAGGTAGGGATTTTAGTAATATGCTGAACTGATCTAGAAGAATTGACGCTTTAGTATAGCAGTCAGCAAGTATATCAAGCTTTTCGCTTATGGTAGATACATTAGCGCTGTCAGTCTCCAATTCAAGAACGTTAGCGAGACTCGTCGTGATTATACGTAGGTCAACAATATAACTGGAATATTTAGCGATAGATTTCTTTTGTGTGTTGGTAATTTGCTGAAAAGAGGTACATTTATAAAAATAAACTAAACAAAATTCTTCGTAATTCATTAATAAATATCAGTGTTTAATTAAGGATTGTCAGCTTCTTGGCTATTGTAAAATACCTTGACTAGTATTGTGTTATGCAAATAGTCTGAGTTTCTATTACCAGGGAAACGGAAAACAAAGTCCCCACCCCATGGATCCCCCAAGGACCTCTCATCGAATAAAAGATTTTATTCATTTTTCTTACCATCAGCTGAGCAGCAAACCCTTTACAACGTTCAATATTCTGCATGCCCAGGTCACTGTGAGGAGTCTGTAACGCATTAGAAAGAAGTCGATGCCGCGCTATGTTTTTCTGGAAATACTTCTCACAGCCTGACCATAGAATCGACAAAGTTTGATCACAACGCCTGTAAATTAAAAACATATGTATTTATTTATTAAATTCTTAAATAACACGTTTTGAATGAGTAATAATCACAAGTTTTTAAGCGAGCCTTATTACTCATACAGCGATCTTTTCCAGGCAACCCGGATATATCATGGGAAGGTGCACGTCATACGAAGCTTGACAACAAAATAAGTTATATTGGCAATAATAATGGGCGGAGAAAACGAGGAAACAGCTAAAACATCGTAGGTAACAGCAAAAAAAATTAAAGATGAAGAGGTTTGCAAAAATAAATTTCGATGCCCAAAATAACTAATCTACGCGGACGACATCGCGGGCACAGCTATGGCATTAAATTACTCGTATCTACTGGTTAAAAAATCTGTCCATTTTTTTTCGGATTATCTCTTATAAAATATGACTGTGGCAAAAAATTGCTTCGCCTGGAAGAGATCGCTTCTTAGCAATAAGGCCACCCATTGCACTCAATATTTTTAGTATATGTCTTGTTTTCTTTTGAGCAACGTTAACTATTTCAACGTCTTTGAAATAGAAGATTACCTGCTCTTCAAATAGCTCATAGCTGAATCCAAATCAACAGGTGGAATGGTAAAGTCACAAAGGTCTTCGAGCGCTGTCAAGATCACCAGCCCAGTGCGATAGTTGAGTCCCATTTTGGCAAGCGCCTTGAAGAGATCTGCGAGGGCTTTTCGCTTCTGTTGCACTATGTTCTTCGCTTGGGACGTCTGTTTTTGTTTTGTTGCGTCTGCGTCCACCTTTGTAACAAGGAAATAGTTTTTTTTATTGAACTTGTACATTGTCATTTTGACAGACTTGTTATAACATCGTCGTAATATTCATAATCAACGGATCATGGTTTCTAACCAACTTTAACATACTTCCTATAAGTAGTATACGCGAATAGTACATTTAAATTAAACACGTAACTGTTTGAAATGCGAAATGGTTTAACTAGAAGGAATGGACGGTGTCCCCAATGAAAAAATCTAATCTGCAAATTCAATCAAATCAAGTCAATTCTCCAAATACAAACTACGACGAAACCTACGATTTAACTGTGACTTTAAGGACAACCCCCATCTTCAGGCCCCCCATGACCATGATTGCTGCAAAGCATCCTAAATGTCGGTCCATAATAAAAAAATAATTGTTTTGGTAATAAAAAGTACAGAGAGCTTATTAATTCCCATTGGCTTGTAATGTTTTTTTGGGGCGGTGAGGCATTGAAAACTTACCTCTAACGATCCCAAATGCGTGCTTGTTTCGATGACCGTTGTAACAAAATCATCTAAACCCTGCACCAAGGACGGATAGCCGCAGGTTGTTATGGTATCTTTACATAGCTGCTTTGCTTTGCTCAATAGGGACGGCATCTTTGAAAGCAAACTACCCTCATTCAGTATTTTGCATGGCAATGCTACTTGGTCCATGTACTTCTGAAAATTTTGAGGAGATATTTAAAAAGGATGAAAGACAGTTTTTCCGCCACCATATCCTAAACGCCATATTTCACAACAAAAAACTTTTAACCAGTTGTTTATAATAACAAATATTATAAATGAAAATATTACAGTCACCACTACAGTAGAATGTGCTAAGAACAAAAACACTATATGTATACGCAATTAAGAATAAATATTTATTATAAACTATCCGTAGTTTACGCGAGACTTATAAACTTTAATAAAAACACTGAACGATTTGAAATGCGAAATATCCACCCGAAACTACGGGCCGCGGTAAAGTAAATTAAAAATATACTTATTTATTTATTTCGCGTTTTAAACCGTTAGAAGGGTTATATTTAGAAAAAATATTATTATTCAATAAAATATACTTCATGCATAAAAAGTGACGCAGAAGGCCATCTTTTTTTATTCTGATAAAACTCCAATAAAAAAAAACTGAGATCCATCTCCATCCAATATTTTATTAATCCCCTAATGTCCCCTAAAAACTATGTTCACCACCACGTCTACATTTCAGACACTAGATTTAAGAGGGCAAAAATACCATGCTTGAATGAAAATGCTATACCTTCAAGCCACTTCCTTGGGCTTTTGTATTTTTTGCTTTCGCAGACTTATCCATGCCCTGTTGATTATTATTGTGTTAAAAACGCTTTGTTGTATGTTATATACTTAGTGTGATCGTAACGCAAGAAAGGCGGTTTGACAACGATCTGCGTTTCATTATTCAAATGATTATAAAACGAATTGTCCAATAATAAACCATGAATTTGTGTTGTTGTGTGAATGCGTCATCGACTGATTATTTAATCGAAATCAAAAGCAAGAGAATTTTAGGATAAACAGTAGAATGTTGGGGTCAATATGACGGTAGAAAGAAGAAGTATGTTTATCTAGTAAAAGATGTGATAAAGACATAAAATTTAATTGTAGGTATTTACAATAACTTCCAATTATAGATAAAAGTCGTTCTTCTCTTTAGCAGTAGACTGCTATGATATCTAAGATAAAACTTAAATCTTTTTTTTCTATCTTCAATAATATAATAATTTCATATGGTCTACAACATAGTAGTTTTACAACTGAACTAAAAAGTAATACCCAGTAATGATAATGACGAAACGTAATGACGAGTAAAAATTTGTAACTACCCTCCATTTACAAAGGGTCAATACTATTTGGCTTTCGGAGTGAGGGGTTTTTTAATAAAATAATGCTGTTACCTTGAACTGTCGAACGTGGAGTACGTATACAAGCGGATCAATCATGTACGCCCCACGACTCACTGCGCTCGTGTTCATAGTTGACCGTTTGGGACGGTCCCAGATGCCAACGTGAGTAACGGCAACATCTGTTGTATTGTCCACCAGACAACTTGAGACGTTCTCTTTTAAAACTTTCTACAAAGATGAAGAAACATATGACATATGAGTCATTATGACAATGTTTTGTTAAATACTGTCGCGTAAACGAGTAGTACATACACATAATATTTTATTGGTAAAATTGATTATCTTTTAAATAAAACACTTTTAACGGTCAAAAAACGAAATATATTAGTCAACTTCGAATTTAATTAAATTTCGAATATCCAAAGCCAAAATAGGTCGACAGCGTACCTTGTTCAAATGCTATAGGCTGGGTGTTTCACCTAACAAGTTGACCCCATGCTTGTCTGACCTCCTCAATTATTATAAAAAAAAATAGTACTGCTCGGGGGAATACATTTATATTAAGTTGCTAATATATGCCAATGTTTAAACCACGAAAACTGTTTTGTTTAAATTTTTGTTCATCTTACCTCAAATTCCTTGGTATGTTTGTGTAAAGCTTTATGCGCTTTGTCCACGGTATCTTTGACACTCCAATAACTCAAATCTCGATCCCACGAACATATTTTAACGAAGTCTCGCAACTTCTTCTCTATTGGAGCACGCTTCTCTTTTATAAATGCCGCAACTTGGGGAGAGAATTGTGAATAGAAGTTGTATGTGTTCCACAATATTGATAGCAATTCATCTGAAAGTAAAATATGATATGTAAGTAAAGTCTTAGGAAAAGACCCGTCTCTGTTGAGGCAAGTTTTCTGAATATCCAAAGCCAAAATACGTCGACAGGGCATTTTGTCTAATGGGCTAAATGGTGTAATGTCATCCCATGCTTGTCTTGTTCTGTGCCAGACCAAAACAGTTTATCCTTTCTTTATGATTACCGACCAAGCAAACACTCCTCTAATAAGAAAATAAGAAACGAACCGTAACGTCCTATGCGACAATTTACTATTTTTTAACTTCACACTAAAACTAAATCAAACTCACGCAATAATAATAACTAATTATTGTGTTTTATGAAACTTCTAAATGTCTCGACAAATTTCAACGAAATTTTAAACATTTGGATGTCAATATAGCTATCAAACACTTGTCAGAGCAAAGTTTTTTGTTGGGATCTAAGGCTTTCAAAAAAATCACACGTCCTAGCGGAATGTAAAAGAATTTGTTTTATTATGATATTTAAGGGCCGCAAGAATGAATCAACATAATATTTCGCCTTTTAAACCGTTGAAAGTATTTCATGATGCTTTCACAAATTTCATTAATTCTACTAACCTCTTTTCTGACTTTGTTCCATGTGCACTAGATGGCAATGATATACGAATACAATATCAAGTCGGATCGCGTATTCCGCAACATTGGACTTTTCCATAAAGTCGCGTAGAACCGACGTTACCTTCGCCGCTGTTGGTGCTTCGCTGTCCGAACTATTCGAACCGTCTAAATAGGATTGAATCACTGAGTACATGTAGAACCAGTATTTGTGAGCTTCAGACTGCTTTCTGAAATATAAGTAGCGAACGTAAATACATGAAAAAAAAAACCTGTTTAAAACGTACATATATAATTTAGTACAATGTATGTACTAAATTAAAAAAATGAGCTGGAAAAAATAAAATAACCTTTATTCTCCTTAAAATTAAAAAAAAAATACTTAGGTTCGTCATATAATATAGAATCTGTAGATTGAAAAAAAATAAGACACGGGCGGGCTCGAACCGGCATCGACAGCATTCCGTGCTGCTGCTCTAACCAATAAACCTGACATGTTCTGATCTGTCTGGATACGTGACATCGGTCTGTAGTTGAAATTAAAAATGTGCTAATTATAATCTTTCGCGTTTTAAACCGTCAAAAGTGTTTAAATAATGTTATTTCACCGTACCTCTGATATAAATTATTGAGACATTCGCGCCAATGACTCATTTCGAGTTTCCTCCAATTTATGATCTGTTGTCCTACAGACAGGGACTGTTCAATCATGTTGTTCCCCTTGTGGGCATTCTTGTTCCACTCCTCAATCTTATCCCGAAGTAACTCCAGACCGGTGAGGAATCGGGAAACGGGGCTTGTAATCGGGAAGTTCAATATTCTATTCACTATTACCATTATCTAAAAAACAAGTTTTAAAATATTTAATTAAATAACTAATAATTGCGACACCAACAGTTTTTTAAAGAAAACTGTATATGTGGTTATTCAGTTTTAAACGTCGTCATATATTTAAATAAAACACTTTAACGGTTTAAAACGCGATATATTAGTTAAACTTATTTGGAAATTATTTTTAACTTCGGATGCAATAAGTTTAACTAATATATCGCGTTTTAAACCGTTAAAGTGTTCTATTTAAATGTGTACTACTCGCGTAAACTATAGACAGTATTTCGTCGTCATATATTTATAATATTGTATATACTTTGGCTTTGGATATTTGGAAATCCACAGACTGAAACCGAATCGCGATTAAACTTGACTTGGCTTTTTCATCTGTGAACGGTGGTTCGTGACCCGGACGGAAGTCCGATAGTCCTACCGCCCATTTAATATACAGATATCCAGACAAGGTCCAACGTGTTTCAGAACAATTATAAATCGATTAGAAAAATTTTGGACCCGATGGGTCGATACCACGACCCGATGATTATTAGCCGATATTGTAGCATGTAATTAGGATCTTCTACGGCAAGTTGGGGCAATCTAGGGCAACAACTCAGCACTTTTTTTTTATAAATTTTATGGTAACGTTAATTTATAATGATAACTTACATCTTTCAACGTTGGGAAGTCAGGCCACAGTTCTAACAATTCAGCAGTGGTGTCTTTCACCTCTAGCAGAATCGGCAGACATTCCCTGCTCTCAGCTACCCATGGCGATCGGTAAAAATCTTTTTGGTTCTTCTGTGCTGAATCCTCTGCAATATAACATAAGATAGTAAATACTGTCTATACTGTACGCGAGTAGTACACATTTAAATAAAACACTTTAACGGTTTAAAACGCGATATATTAGTTAAACTTATTTGAAAATGATTTTTAACTTCGGCTCGACGTTTCGGATGCTTTGCAGCAGTTTCGCGTTTTAAACCGTTAAAGTGTTTTATTTAAATGAGATAGTAATATACCACAGGAGGGCAGAGGTCTCCTTTGCCAAATAAGAACTCCGACAGCTTAAACCCACCGCTGCACCAGGACGGGTTTGTGGGCTATAACGACACTAAAATAGTGATAATATTCAGGACCGACTATCCAATTTTTTAAACTTCTATTAAAAATCCTGTTCATCCCCATGGGGCATGGGGCGAACAGTAAACTAGAAACATTTCTGTGCCTATGTTACTGATCGTATCTTTACAGAAAAATAGTTCATCAGATTTTTGTGCCCTGTCTGACCGAAACAATTTATTATTAGATATTGTTTCCGTGAGATTCGAACCCAGAACCAAATCATTGGTCAAAACTGAAACGAGCAATTATAAATAGTAACTAATATTGCATTTTAAACTTTTAATGTGTTTTATTGAAACAAATTATGTTATGCCTACCTGTACCATCAATTTGCGATTTGACATGAGACAAGAGTACCAGCAGACTTGGTGTTATTTCCCCTTCGAAATCCGCGTCCAAGGCCTGCCAAGAATCCAGAACAACCTTGCTAAACGTGGGGTACCGTAAAAGCAACGGTGTCACCACGTCATTTCCCACAATCTTTTTCGGGCTGGTCAGCCACTCGGCTAGCGTAGAGTTACGGACGAACTTCGAATGCCAGGTGTAAATTAAGGTCACATCTTCAGAAGTAATTAGAGGTTTGACCTTGTCTGTGGTTGGCAGTTTAATTTTCCTCTGTTCTAGTGTCGGTGGTTTGAACTCCGCGAAGTCATCATCAGCGTACGATGGGAACATCTCCATTATTTCCTCGTATGCTATCGCTTCGTCGTCCTCGTCTTCACATTTCGACCTATACCAGAAATATATATATAAAGCTGAAGAGTTTGTTTGTTTGGACGAGCTAATCTTAGGAACTACTCTACTCTTGAACACTTTTTTTGTATTGGTTAGAGCACTTATAGAGGAAGGCTTTAGGGTATAAAACATCACGCTGCGACTAATAGTAGCGAAGAAACAGTATGTGGAAAAACGGGGAACTTTATTAATATTTGTGGGCGTTCCTGTTCCTTTGAGTGCGATGTGAAAATGGTTCAAGATAACCAGAAAATAAATAATTAAAGAATAATTCGTCTTGAAACTATTAAAAAAGTCAACGTCATTATATGTTTTTTTTTTAACATTAACTTAAGTATTATAAGTACCAAATATAAGAAAAATTAAGAATACAAAAGGTTTGCACTTACTTAGTGACATACAAGGCTTCCTCGTCCTGTTTCTTCCTCTCCATGTCCTGTCTTTGTCTCTCCCACGCCGTGACGAGTGCGTTTAGGGTTGTATGCACTGCGCGTGCGCATGTATCATCTACATAACCAGCAGCTGTGCACTGCAGGTACAACTCGGAGAGGTTCATTTTTAAAATCCTGAAAGTATATAAATAATATGTAAACCTTTTCATAAGTGTATAAGTAAAAAAAAAGATTTTTCAGTGCGGCCTTGCAATAATGTTCTAGGTTCAAATTACTGAAAAAAAATATTAGTCCTATAGGGTAGGTAAGGATCTTCGCATTTAGTGAATTTTTTCGTACTTGGCATTTTTGGTAAAGAGATATACACATTTTTTGTGTTACGCATTTACATCATATAGTGACTAAAAACACTCTATTATAAATTAAAATAATTAACTACATTAAATTCTCTTAGTAAAAACGACAATGCAACGGTAAATTAATAAAAGTTCTAAAAATCAATTTACGTAAATGGACCGATTAAAATTTCTTTGGTTTGATATTCACTTAGGGATGGGATGAAAATTGATTGATGACATAAAAAAAAAAAAAAGGTCGTTATAATAGTGTTTTTTGAATATTGAGGTCGTTTGGTCAATTTATAATAAATATTTCTTTTTCCCTGTGTCATCTGTCGTGACAACTTCGTTCTATAAAAGGTCATAACTAGTCCTCTATGATTTGAAGTCGATCATATTTGTTGTGGTCTTTTGTCAAGTCAAAAAAATTACACTATACTTAAATACTGTCTGTGGTTGACGCGAGTGGTACACATTTAAATAAAATACTTTAACTGCTTAAAAGGTGATATATGCTAGTTAAAATTATTATGTATGTATATTATAATAATTACTTATTTACAGCAGCCGTGGTCTCCCCATGACCACGGCTGCTGCGAAGCTTCCGACTTAAAAATAATTTTCAAACAAGTTTGAGTAATATATCTGGCGATTAAAAGAGTTAAAGTGATTTATTTAAATACACTATACTTATAAAATAATAGGACTATAATGACATCTTTTTATTATTAAGCCTTGTGTCACTTTTATTATTTAATTTAACAACTCACTGCAAACATGACGCTTCAGCCTTCATCAGATCACAGACATCGACATCCTTATTCACCAACTGCATAAAATGCGTCGTTACAAAGCGATTAAGGTGTTTTTCCTTTGCCCTTCTATCAGGAATCTTATTGGGGAACACCAGCAGACTCCTCAACAGGTCAGGCAAAATTGAGCCTCGTTCAACCTTCACTATGAGCTCTTTTAGTATATCACTTAAAGATGTGACGCTGTGGATTAACTGGGAGATTGAGGTCTGTAAAGGTTTTGCTAAGTCGGGGAATGCTTCTGAGTATGATGTCTCAATTTTCTTGTAGAAGGCTCGGGCTGAGTACAACCATGTTGAGGCTTCTCTGATGACGGTTTTTGCTTTTTCCATGTTTGGTTTGCTGACAATGTTCGAATCAATATCCTGATATAAGCAATTGCTGGTCACAACCATGTTCGAAGACATCATAGCAATGGCTTTTTCTGATAGAATTGATTTTGTAAAGTGTTTGCATTCCTGAAAATTAAGTTTATTATTAATTAAGTTTACAATACGATAATCACACAATGTTATCTTAATCTTGATCTTCAATTTTTCCGCATGAAGCACACAAATCGGAATTATTTCTAAGATGATAAGTTTATAAAACCACGACTGCTTTAAATGTACCAAGGTATTGTTTTTAACGCAAGTACATTATATAAAAAAAACAATTTAAACGGTTTAAAGCGTGAAATATTTTTTATTCCTTGCTTTGACCTAACGTTTCGAACGCTTTGCACCTTGGAACGGGGGAATAAATGGTGGAAGTGCCTAGGTTCAAATTACATATGGTTCACTAGCGCCATCTGTGTTTTTTCTTTGTAAAATAAAACTGATTCAAACTATACAGTTGCTTAATAGTGTGCCGTTTTGTAGATTAAATTAAAAAAAATAATATATTTAGCGTTTAAGACCGCAGACCATTCCACCCATAAAAAAGTAGAATTAATTTCGTTTCATTTGTTTATACTATTTCATTTGTATAAATTAATTTACTTACTTTGACAAAACTCATGTAAGATGGCTCAACTGGTCGGAAAGTGTTCCCCGAGGCATACTTATGCACGCTCAAAGCCGTTTGCTTCTTCAGATCCATTAGCACAGAGCAATACGGATGCACTTTTTTCAGGTCCTCTAGAGTTTCACCTTTCAGAGAGTCGACGGCGATCTGCGATAACCTATACACATCCCTGTACTCAACAATCGTACCAGATACGGCCCCGTGGAGGTAATACGCGCTCAGTAACTCGTTAAACATTTCCACATCCTCTTCTATGTATTGAAGCTTCAGTCTGTATTTTTCCACGTGATCCATAGGAGATATTTCAGCCATAAATTGCACAAATAAAACACTAGTCAATAAAGACAATTGAGCGGTTAGTATCTTGATCTTGGCAGGTTTCGTGTTTAATTTTATCTTCTGTTTCAACTCTTTGTGGATTTCCTCCGCTTTCAGAAGGATCTCCATTAAATGGGGAGCGATTTTCAAACTCTTGCGCAGGAGGGCGAATTTGTCGTGCGTTAGTTTGATAATCGGAATGTTCAATTGGGTGACAAGGATTGAATTTATGTATAGAATTAGGTGTTCGTATTTCGTTAGCTCGAATTGTGCATCTGATTTTCTGAAAAAAAAAAAAAAAAAAGTAAGTATTGTTTTACTTTGCAATGCTCTTTTAACTAACTTTATAATTCTACATTACTAATAACGTATGTAACGGGTTTGGACTATGAATGGTTAACCCAAAAGCAATATAGTAGTAATAACCAATTTATAATTTTAAGCACAATTGCATAAAAATCGTTCGAACCGAAACAATAAAACCAAGCCCACAATTTATAGTATTATTGTAAGAAGTAGTATTACTTACATTTTGGCTTTGGCTGCAAAATCCAAGGTGCCAATATTATTCCATAGAGTATTTAAAAGTGACTGGAGCTGGACAGAATACTCCTCCCGATCTTTCAATGGCACTTTTTCGTAGGCTAAAACGGGCTTTTTACCTGCAAAAATAGATTATATATGGACAAAGAGACAAATTATTGATGTCTGACTGTCTGTAAAAATACTTGTTTTCTAGTAGTATTACTAAAAAATCTGTATGTTTTTTTCACTCGATTGTTTATCGCACAAACTTTATAAGAAAATTTAGACGGTTAATCGCAAAAGACCTATATTTGACTGAAAAGATATGAAGTGTGTTATTTAAATGTAACCTACAGACTATACTAAGAGTTATAACGATATAAATTACCTTCTTCATCAATAACGGTAGTCAATTGTTGTATGTAATACGCCATCAATGGCAAATTGGTTGAGAATCTTGTTGTGTTCGCTGGAACCGTTTCATCATCAGGATCAGACATGGATAAGAATAGGGACGGATGGACTGCCGGCGATGACGTCAACACTTTATAAAGCTCGTCCCATAGACGCATTGGTAGGGAGGATAACCTAGAAATATTCAGTCTTTGAAAGCTTCCACTATGAGGGGCATATCCAAGTTCCTCAAAATACACAATTAGAGTTCTTTGTACATATTAATCCGACTAAGATACATTTTACCATTATAAAGTACAAAAGTACGTCTTTATTACGCTACGCTTTGTATAAATAAATTAATTTAAAAAGCTTGTTTTTTATAAGACGATGAGATATGACGCTGGCCACTGCACTAAGTAGGCATTTATCGATAAAATGCGACAATATGTGGAGTAAAACTTTTAAAAATAATTTTAACAATTTTAAAGGCGAAATATATTCGTTAAAGTTATATTCGATTATTTTTATTTACGACCCCTGGTTTAAACTACAGACAAAAATAACGTATTTTATAAACATAAACATTCTGATGATTTAGCATAAGTAGGGCACGTCTTGGATTCGAATCTGGTCAACCTAGACGTGTTCACGTTATGACACATGGGGAAACAAGGTTTCACTCTTACCTTTCAATGGTCGCATCTTGGTTATCCTTTCTCATTTCAAGCAACACCTGGAAGTGGTCTAAGAGCGCCGATGAAAAACCTAGACACGACTTGGCGTAATTTGAGACGCTCGATAGTATATCCAGGCAACTGGTTTCGTTCGCATGTAACAATATGTCTTCAGTTGCGAAGAATTTTCTCAACAAATCCGGTAAAAATGGCTGCACGACGTTTAACATCCTCTGTATCAAATATACATTGATCGGTATTAGTTTCATATCAGACGTTAGTGTATTTCGGCTTTCCTTTGCCAATGCGACGCTATTTTCAACGTTTTTGATACTTGCTTCATCTGGTATGTCCACTGCAAACATTTTATTTAAAGTGTACAACACGTGCTGCATTTTGTACAGCTGTTTGTCGAACGGTTGATTCATATCGAGATGTATATCTTGATATACTTTTGCTCTTGCGCAACAAGAATCATATTCCTTTTGATCCTTAAACAGCTTCGACTGGCCGTAACATTTCCGCAGCTTCTTGCTTATTTTAGATATTTGCGTGTACTCTTCTTCAACGTTCAACTTCAATTTCGTTACTTCTCTGTTTAGCTCTTCGTACATTTCCGGTTCGTTTAGTAACGAGTACAGCGCTTCAAATAAGTACTTTTGCACCCACTTATTGTGAATTTCGAGTATTGGTACAATGTCCTCCTTTAGAATCGGTACGCGCTTCTGCATCGTGAAGATGGGCAAGGTACAGGTTTTATAGAATCTGCTCCGCCAGTTCAGGAGTTGAAGAATCTGACAAGCCATTCTGTCGTTTAAATTTCCGGACGCGAGTGTTATTGCTACATGAAGATTGTCATCGATCAAATTAAGATATTGCTGACAGTTCCTTAAAATTGGATATTCAACAAAATCGTCAGTCAACTTGCGACTCGAAACAGCATCGGAATAGCTTAGGGCGGTAACTTCTTGATCTGTATCGACCCATTTTAAGACGACCTTTTGACACTCTTTGTATAGAAATATAAAGCTTGAATTCGACTCGTTAATTATTTTTTCATTAATATCGAAGGATTCTTTAAAGAACCGTTTGTAAGATTCCGATTTGTTACTTGGTTGACTAATGTGACTCGAAGCGAGATTGTTCAATTCAGTCGCTAGATCGTATACTTTTTCATTAACAGGGGGGTATAGCATGTTTTAAGCAGTAAAACACAGCTTGCAATTGCTTCTCGGAGCATTTCTGATACGCAGTTAGTATACTATACAAAATATGCGTCGGCCTATCTCCCGGTTCGTTTATTTGCCTAATAGCCAAAAACGATATTTGTTTTGCCAATTCATACACAGAGTTGGAACATAGTCCTTTAATAGACAACGTGTGATCCACACCGTTTGTACTTGGTGCCTCAAATTCTTCAAATCCTATTTCTTTTTGTAGTTCTGATAGCATATCGTTTTTCATTTCAGCTAAAGACGCGTTCACATTCGACGCAAAGTCACTACCACTTCTTGGTTTTATATAAACGTCTGAGAAGCTGTTTACAATGGCAGTCTTAATGGCAACGCCTCGAACAATCTGTTGCCATATTAGATGTGCGGCTTGTAAAAGTTGTGAAACAGTGGGACGATCTAAACCTGAAAATTGTAAATCCATAATTAGAACACTTTAGTACATAGCTTTGCATACAAATACGAAGTTTATGCCTTATTTTATACATTACAAAAAAAAAAAAAATATTAAGGCAAAAAAATTTTTTTTCACATGTTTTTTCTAATGTGTATAAGCTGACTCTCAATGATGTCATTAAAAAATATTTCTTTAATACTACTAATTTTTAATATTCTCGTGAGCTCGCGTTTTCTGTAAATTAATTATATTTTTGGATCAATAAGTTACGAAAAGTTATTTCTTAGTTTCTATTGATATTGTAGTAGATAATCATTAGTATATCATAAATTTAAATTAATTTTAAAATTGAAATGTATAAGACTTTGATGTTTAGTTATATATAAAATATTATTGTACTTTGTAACTAAGAAGTGTTGTTTACCTGTATTGTTTAATTACAGTTATCTAGTTTTATTAGAATTGATAATATATTTAGCATGTAAGATTGTAACATATCGTTGGTAAACCTTTCTAAATAAATAAATAAATAAGCGAAAACTTTTAGTTGGCTTTCTGATATCTAATTTGTCGACTATCCTATTGTACTAGCTAAGTTTTCCATTCGTGAATAAATAAATAAATTACCTTGTACAAACTCTGTCATACTTTCATGACATCGGATACAAATATCATGGTATTGCTGAGGTAGTCCACAAGACGACAGCAAAGCCACTAAATCCATGTGAGGAATAGTTTCCGATAGTCCAAGTTCACCATTATCAGGTCGTAGTAAATGAATCTCAACTCCTCGATTTCTCATCGCACGAGATATTTCTCCATATTTTGGATCCATGGTAAAGAAAATTCTGAAGTTAGCGTGGGGTCTGATTTCACTTGTTTCCCCTCTTTCTGGGATACTTAGGAAACCGTTTGGTTCTAGGAGACCATTAAGTCTATCTAGTACTGCCGCTGACGTTAAGTTTACGTTGTCCAATAAGATCCAGGAGCCTTCTATCATCGTTTTAACAAGTAACGAATCTATCCATTCGAACTTCCCCCCACCGTTGACCGATGTCAGTTTCGATATCTTAGTCTGTAAATTTAACAAATTCTTCTGTAGTCTCTCTATGTTGTCTATTGGAAGACCACAAATCTCACTACATTCGATTAATTTGTCACAGTGATCCAAGAGGAAAGTCACTTTTCGTTTGAAATTTTTGATATCAATGTTGTAAGAGTTTGTATCATCGTCGCTGCATTTTATAGACCTATATTCGAATAGGTTACTTAACAATTTATTCGACTTCCACATCCGGAAATCTTGTAGGATCCATAGACTCCTAACGATTCGCATCGTCAAGGTTTCGATCTTGTCATACAGGTTTTCTAGATTCCTATTGAAGTCGACTTGTTCGAAACCTCCTAAAAGATCTGAGACATCCATTGCAGATGTAACAGGTACTACATGCAACTCGTTTTGGGTTAAATCTGCTAGAACTTGGACGAGACTGCTTTTACCAACTGCCGTCGGTCCAACTAATATTGTCAGCCAATTCATTCTAACATTTTGCGCCAACGCTTTTAGAATCGGTAACTGACTTCTTAGTACTAATAGATTTGTGTCATTGGCCCGCCTGTTCTTGTAGAGCCTCTCCTTATTGACTGGCAACGCAACATCACCGATGATGACATCTTTTGAGTCAATGGTAAACATGGGGTGCTCATCACTTCTCGGATAGTATGGAAGGAAAACTTCATTATAAGCTTCAATCATTTTCTCTTTATCAGCCTCGGTTCTCATTCTGTTGACGTATAACATGTCAACATACTTTCCCGGTATTATATTTCTACCCGCATTTTTGTCTTCAATAATTGCTTCGCACCAACGTTGTATGTCTCTTAAGTTCATCTCCCAAGGTGCTCCTCTGTGACCCCAAGATTGTAACTCAGTTATTTCGTGTGAAACCTTGCAGTTGAATGTAACTATTCTCTGCAAAATATCCATGGAAATGTCTGGATACTGCGCTTGTACAATGTACATTAGATCATCTCTTGTTAGTGTATCGATATATACTTGAGTGAATCTGTTTAAGAATGATATGGGCAGTCCCCTTCGAGCTCCGCCTTGTTTAAGAGGATTTTGACATGCGAATAACTTAGTTTGTTCTTTAACTTTAAAGGTTTTTCCTAATTCGGGGATGAATACTTCGCCTCTGTGGTCCAGGCACGCATTGAGACCCTCGAGGACCGGTTGTGGCGCTAAATTAAGCTCATCCAGAAGAATCCAATCGCCATTTTGCAGCGCATTGAGGAATGCACCTTCTTTGAATACGAACGAACCGTCTTCTGATGGTAGGTCAGTTCCAAACAAGTCAGTTATATCCTACAAAGAAAAAATTAAACCATTAGTGCATATGAAAAATAAGTTGAAAAGTATAGTGTAGTAAGACAATATATATTGTTATATAATTTATATGTATACAAATAATATTGTATCTCTAATTTAAAATTTAACTTTTTATTACTTCTTGTTCTCCTTAATTTCTTTTATTGTGTTATAGATTGGTAGCATTTTCGTCAAGTATGTATAAATAAGTGAAACTTTAGGTCTATTTGTTTAATGTTTTAAGTAGTCTATTGTTCAGTATGTTTGTTTTATTTCCAAATAAAATATTTTAATTACCGTCTGGTCACTCAAGTTGATACGAACAACTTTATGTCCGGAGCTCTTTGCCAACGCATTGACTAAGCTTGTCTTTCCAACACCTGGATTCCCCTCGAGGAGGACAGCTTTGTTCAGCTGAAGACCTCGTAATAGACGTAACGTGTTAGCACCTGTCGTAGGCGCTGTAAATGTAAACTGCTCTGTATCACCCGAATGCTTGTGTGATCCAATGTTAATGTAAAACGGTTTTATCCCGAATTTATCATGTTTGATTTCAGCAGTTAGTACAGCGTCCCTATTACTCAACATTTGTCTTAGGAAGTCAGCTTTTTCGTAGCCTAAGGCAGTTATTTGATGTAATAGATAGTTTATGGCGTTTTTACGCAATAGACACAAAGCTTCAGGCTCGATATGACCGGTCAGAGCGGTTCCAAAACAGTCCAAAAATGTCATACACGCCCCGTGGACGTAAGCTTCGGCGGCGTCTAGCAAATTCTTTCCAACCGTCACGTTAATAAATTGAACCCACGAGAGCAAATCACGTATGCTAAAAGGAAATTTATTAGTCACCTCCGATATCTTCAACCAGTCACTAAAATCTAGTATACAATTTCCTATCCCGGAACTGCCGTCCTCTTGGTTCGCCAGGGCAATACCGTGACCGACACTCTTTTCTAAAACTTCAATCAAATCCTCCTTAGAACTCACATGATCACACCAGATTTCTGTAAATCTATTTCTTAAAGCTGGTGAAAGCTCCTTCTTTCCAAAATCACCACCAGGGTTCATGGTACCAATGAAATGGAAGTTCTTAACTGCCGTAATGACTACGATGTCTGAACGATCGTCCGTGCCTCGTTCAGAGAGTACGAGCTGTCGCTCTGGCTCGAGCAGGGAGTTCATTCTTTCTAAAACACTGTCATCCGCTAGTGATATTTCATCAGCGAGGAAAAGGTGTCCATTTTCCATAGCATTTATTAGTGGGCCATCTACCCATTCGAAAAGCTTCCCATCATTCTTATATTGCCTCACTGGTCGGAGGCCACCTAAGAAATCTGAACTTTCAGTGTGCATGTGGCAGTTTACTGACAGAAGTTGGCGTTTACTTAAAGCCGCTAACACTTGGCATATAGTCGTTTTGCCACACCCAGTTTCTCCAACCAGTAGCACGGGTTCGTTAAATGAAAAAGCCTTGTCAATTAACACCGCCAAACGCCGCATGTTGTAAGTCCAGACTAGATGTGAAAATTCCGGCAACCGATTATTCAAAAGCATTTCCAAAGTACTCTTGGTTACTGGAGATGTATTTTGATGCAAACTGAACAAATTGTTGACCTCGACTTTTCTTTTTATATGTTTTTCTAATACTTCTTCGATGATCTTTCTCTCATCCGTCTGGCGTACCTTTCCGGCTAGAACAAGGTAACCCTCGTCAGCTATGTGTTGATCCCAGTCGTAGAATTTAGTAGTGCTCGTAATTTCGTTTGAAGCATGTTTGTACCTCTGACCCCATCTGAACAAATCTCTTAATGTTATAAAACCATCTTTGCCTTGGACTGCGGCAGATCCTCGCCTCCTCACTTGTAATTCCGCCATAACTTCGATCATCTTCTTACTGTAAGTCGGTGGGACGTGGCACCTTTGATGTAAGATTGTGTCTAGTTCACTTCGTGGTATTTCATCGAAATGTAACTCCACGAATCGGTTCCTGAAAGCTCGCGATAGCATTTTCCTACCACCATATAAGCCTGGAGGGTTCTGCGTTGCAAACAACATGAAGTTCGGGTCGGCTTTTACTACTTCTTGGGTTTCGGGTATGAAGAGCTCACGGTTGTCGTCCAGCACGCGATTTAATGCTTCCAAAACATCACTAGGTGCTAAGTTCAATTCGTCTAATATTATCCAGTAGCCCTTCCTCATAGCCTCGACGAGGACACCTTCTTTGAAGACGAGGCTGCCGTTTGCGTCAGTTGCGTAAGAGCCTATGTACTCTTGTAAGTCGGTGTGTTCGTGGTTATTGATTCTCACACAGTAGTTCCCGGAAGCTTTAGCAATGTATGTGATGAGGGAAGTTTTTCCAACTGACGTGTCTCCCTGTAATAATACCGGCAATCGCCCTAGAGATATAATACGCGCTATGTCGCGAAGATTTTTCCTAACGGTGGAGGTTAAAATGTAATCATCTGGAATGTCAATTTCTAACTTCCCCTGTGGTATCCAATGGCCTTCGAATAGCAAGTAGTTTTGACCCTGATTTTGGGGTTCAGGGATCAATTGTTTCAATATGGATTTTATATTTTTCTTTCCAAGAACAGCTCTGAAATGCATATACAACTAATGTACATATGTTTAAACTTTATATACAAAAATGTTTACTATGACAAATAAAATTTTACTTAAACAGGAAATATGAAAACAATATTATGGAAACATTGAAAATAAGATCGAATTTTGAAATTTGAATATCCAAGCCAAAATAGGTCGATGGCATCTTGTTCGATCTTGTTGTGATGTTGTGTGAATGTATTTGACATCGGCGTGTTAAGATAATAATAAGCTAACACCCACTTGGCAATCATGGCTTCTACTTTAGGGTGCGATGATCTGTCCAACTGGGTCAGGAATGATAAACAGAATGCTTCGTACAGTGACCGAGCGACCGTACCACATTTGGCTTTGGCGGCGGCTGTGAGAGCTCTACATAGTGTCCTTAAAGAATAGTGCGGCGCATTACCTGAAAAAAAAAATGGTCACATACTGGAGGGCATAGGAAATTGAATCTTAATATGTGAATAAAAAGGTCGAAATAACATTGCACGTAAGGTATAACTATCAAAAGGTTGAAGCAATTCTTTGATGATGTCATCTGACGTATGGTAGCTCAAGTGGTTATAGCAGTAACATCGCTGTGGATGCCGGTTTTAGTCTCGACCGCATAATCTAATCTTTTACATTATGCGGTCGAGACTTTTTTATTTGTTTAAATACACAAAACTTATTGAAAGTGTAAAAAAGTTTTAAAAAAAGCAATGAAAACTTCACACCGAGTTATATAAGACTTTAACGCTGTTATCATTGTTCTCTGTTTTTAAAAGTCAACGCAAGTCTCCCTGAGTAATTCTATATGATTTATTTACACAAAAAAAAATTGTGATTTTACATTATAATAACATACCTGCTCCATCTACTAAGTTCAATTTGGCTTCTTTTCTTATTGAAGAATAGAAAGAATAAATTGATTCTAATACAGGTCCACTCAAATTCATGTGATAAAGATAGTCACCGATCAGTAACATGAGATCGTTCATCTCAGTTAATTCGTCAATGAAGAACTCTGTGAATCTATTCCTGAGACCGACGGGTAGATCCTTCTTTCCGACATCAGTGGCTGGGTTCATACAAGCAAAGAGTGTGAAATTTGGATGTCTTTTTATTGGAACTTTGTCGCCTTTTTCCAGTAGGTCTATGGTTTCGTCTTTGTCTTCCAGTAGTCCAGCCAGACACTCCAAAATCTCAGCCGAGGCTAAATTGATTTCATCTAGTAAGACCCAGTGGCCTTCCTGCATCGCTTTCACTAGAGAACCTTCTATGAACGCGAATGTTAGTCTCGATTCAGCTTTTACCTGTTGTTCTAGTTTAGCCAATTTATACCCGAAGCTAATCCAGCTTTTGAGTTTATCAACTTTATTCTCATTGGCAAGTCTTTTCACAGCCGCCTTATGGCTTTGTTTCATTAGAGCCACCAATGGCGACCAATTTTCTGCCTCATAACACGCTTCGATGTGCCCGAGAAACTTTTGATTCTTCTCAGCATTGTAAAAACTGGTGAAGAGATCCAGGAACTCTAGTTTTATCGGTCGAATCACGTATTTCAGGTCTACCGGTTTGTATCCACCGAGAAGATCAGCGGAATCGGACTGTTGATTCATATTTATAACAACGAGTTTGTGTCCCGTCTGTCTCGCTAAATATTGTACGGATGATGTCTTACCCGTTCCCGTTTCACCGACTAGCAATACCGGTTCGTTAGATTGGACACAACAAGCGATTCTCTCTAAAAGACAAGCGGTTTGTCGCGTGAAAGAAAACACAGTCTGCTTATTGTCGAAATCTATCGATGACAAGGATTTTTCGACTCTGTTTATTTTAACACGGCCCACCGCGAACGCTCCTGGTTGTAATGAAACATTCGGTTTATAATGCTTACAGTAGAATTCCGACTTTGTCTCCACAACTCCGAGGCAAGTTCCAACCTTTTTGGACACCTCCAAGCGGTGTTCTGGCAATGACACCGAACATGTGAATATGTCGAATGCATCTTGCAAAACCTTTAATGCTGAGTCGGGGCTAGAAACGTTGTAACCTACAACAGCGCGGGCGCACCACTTCATCAAATCTCGCGTAGAAATAAGTCTAGAGCCCCGTATGAGAACGAGATTATTATCTTTCTCTGTCTTTTCTGTGGTTTGTAAGGAGGTGTCATGGCATCCAACGGAAAACATCATGAATACTTCTATCATTCTTGGAATTATCGTCGTCAGTGTAGGATAGAGTGACTGTATAACTTCGCTCAATTCTGACGTCGAGAGTGGTTCCACATTAATGACCGTTAAATGTTTTTGCAGTAACGTACTTGAGCTTGACATCTTCTTTTGGAAACCATAGTTTGTTATAATGGTTCTGAAAATATGTTTTAAATAAAAACAAATAAACATTACATAATTTATATAGTGTCATCAAGTGCAAACATTTGAAAAATATTACAGTTTTCAAACGTTAAACTGTAATTTTAATGATTTTGAAGGATCTTGAACCTTAATATAGAAATGTTAAGGTAGAAATTACATTACGCGAGAGGTGTATGTATCCATAGGTCGAGAACACGGTAGCTCAATTTCGCTTTAGCCAATCAGCAGAACGGTGATGCCGGTTCAAGACCATTTAAAAACGATTTTTAATTTAAATATTACATAATTAATTCAAAAAATTATTCTAGTTACCTTTGTGTGACAAATAGCTGAAAGCCAGGTGTTACAGGCAATGCATCTCTAAAGCCAGGTACACACAAAGTGTTTCTTTCTAGTAATGAACTAAGAGTCGATGCTACATCCAAAGCCGCGCAATCAATGTCTTCAAGCAATAGCCAGTGGCCGTTAAGCACAGCCTAAAATAGAAGAATAATATTTTAGCTACATATACAAATCATATACAACGGCTTAAAGCAAAAAGTATACATAAAAAAAATCACCGAAATACAGTTCTGTATACAATCGAAACTTCACTGATTTTTTTTTTCAATAGTAATATTATAGAAAACCAAAGATCTATTACATTGATATACTATAGATTACCTCAGTCAGTACACCAGGTGCCCAAATGAATTCCCCCGGCACATCTGTACACTGATGGCTACCTAATAACATTCTGGAGTCAGTCTGATCTCCAAGTTGGACTTTCTTGAAGGCTTTGCCCTTTCGACCTGTTATAGCTGCTAAATGCTCTACTAAAGAAGTTTTGCCAGAGCCCACTGGTCCCATGAGTGATAATGCTTTTCCTAGAAAGTAATATAATCATGTATAAAAAAAAAGTAAAAAAAAAAACGCAAATGGCCAATTGTCTATATATTGTACTAGCTGTGTCAGCGACTTCGTCCATGTAGAATAGTTATTTTGGGTATCAACATTTGTTTTTCCAAATTTCCTCTACATCTTTATAAATTATATCTGTTATCCACGACGTCGTCCGCGTTCCGTCATTCTTGCAAGTTAATCCTAAAAGATAGACTCGAGAATTTTTTTTAAAATCATTTAAAGAGAAATCACTCTTTCATACATAGTTTTTGGATGTCTTGAATCGTTTTCGCACTGAAACCCACAAGGATGAATAACTTCCCATTTTTTTTACATTTCCATTTTTAAAATAATTTTTCAACTCAAACCAGTAGTTGAGACTAGCGCGTTCAAACAAACAAACTCTTCAGCTTTAAATATTAGTATGGAATAGATATTGGTTTTCGAACCGTTCGGTCGTCGTCGTTCGTTCTCAGGTAGTTTAGTTATTAGTAGAGAAAATGGCAATATCTAATAATGTCATCTATTTGTTATGGTATTATCACATCTGCCCCCTCTAAGACTACGAGTACATAGCGATCACGACCGCTCTGTCAAGAGCGTACCGGATTAAAAGAAAGAATTTGTTATGGTGAAACTTCGAAATATACTATCAATGACGATGGCCAAACAGTGCGACAACCCAAAAGGCAGCATTAATCTAGATTACCTGAAGCTACTGCAAGAGCTAAACTCCTTAAGTTATTTACAGTTGACTTAACAGGAACTAAACTCCCGGCCTTAACATTGTCCTTGTCATAAATTGCCAATACTATGCCGTCTATATTCACTGTTGCTTCAGTCGTTAGAGTTACGTTATCTATACCTTTACCAACACATTTTTGACTTTGTTTTAACATTTGACTGTTCAGATCAAACTCTTTGGAAATGTTTAAGTTTGTACTGAGAATGTTGGATTGGGTCTCTGTCATATTTGTTAATATAACCATACATTCTTTAACCATCCTGGAAAAAAAAATGGTTAGATTCAGTTTGAACCATATTGGTCCAGCCTGCCAATAGCCTATGAAGAGATTTATTAAGGTTATTCCTTTCATATAGCCAAAAAGAGGGCTTCAACATCTGTTTATCTACATTTAGTTAAGTTATCTAATGGCCGTTGATAACATAATTTATAGAATACAAGCTGCTAAAGAAGATAAAAGCTTCATTGATTTGCAATTACTTATACTAATATTGTTAGTTAATAACCAATTGGAGATATTTATATTTTTATACATGTTACGGCACATTATAAAAATTAAAAATTTTGTTAAGACTGAAAACAAATGACAACATGGACAGGACTTTGAGCTACCATGTCCCTTCTGCTGTGAAGGACATGGTAGTTTAATTGGTTAGGGCAACAGCATGGAATGCAGTGGATGCTGGTTCAAGTCCTGCCCGTGTCATATTTATATATATATTCAATCAAACTTAAGTTTTAAGCCAAATGTAATATATATATATATATAATGCAATTAGTACTAAAAATATCTTTACCATCTTATTTCTTCATCCTTATGATGACTGAAATTGACTATAAATTTTGTCCAGTCCCACTTAGATGACAACTCATTAGGTAATTTACTTAGGAGGTTATAGCAGCACGAAACTATATTATACTCAGTAATCTTCTGTCTACAATCCTGTAGTCGTCGTTTCTTTGGTGCCACATTGTATGAGTCCTCATGGTGTATGAAAATTTCATATGGAGGTATGGAATTAATTTGAAAGTATTTCTGGGCATATCTGAAATATGTAAAAAAATATTGCTTTGCTTTAAAAAGAAACTTTGCACTTTTATATTAAGTTAACAACAGATTTAGATTTCTCTAACTACATAATAGTTTCCATAAATCAACCATGTATTGGGTTTTACATATATATATTTTTCAATTATAGAGGAAGACAGACAAATACCCCAGCCATCTAAAAAGATATGCTTTCACCCTATATTGGCTTTGGCCTTTTTATCTGTGGACCGTGGTTTGTGAACCGGACGGAATTTCGTAAATCCAGATTTCCAGACAATGACATATTTTAGAAAAATATATAAATTGATTAGAAATATGTTGGACTAAGTGGGACTCAATTATCCATTGATTAGTAGCCACCATTACACCAATGACCTTGTCAAATATGCTATAACAGCAATTCATTCAAATTTTTAAAAGTTTCTATAGCAAATATAAACAACTATTAGAACCAATCATAAAAGATTATCATATATTTGTGGAAAACAGAATTATTACAAGTTACTTACTGCAAAATATCCGGGTGATTGCTTAAGAGTGCTAGAACTATTGAATACTCCAAATGTTTAGTTTTCTCACTATCCGTGGCTAGGTCATGACTACTGCTTTGAAACACTGGTGTAAGTGGAATTTTTGTGGATACCAGAGCCAAAGACAGGTTTGACAAATGTTTACCAAATAATACTGCATCATCAAAGTTTAAAATATGTTCCGACAATAAAAAGATCACCTGGTTTGTACAGTCTGGATCTTTTTTTAGGGAAGCCTGAAACATATTGATAAAATATTACTGTGCGATATATTAAATGTAATAAAAAGCATTAAAATAAAGACCTGCCTCTCAGGATTTAAAGCCTTAATATCTCATGTTCAATAAAAATCGGTAGGTGCAAAAAGACCACCTAGATCTACTATCTCATGTAGGTAGTGAAAAAACACCCACAAGTAGTTTAAAACATGACCACGTTATAATTAGATGGGTATAAATTATGAGGCATGTGTTTACTAACTTTGTTTATATATTTCCATTGCCTTATATTCTTATCAGTAGATATAATTGTTTTCATTTAATTAAAATTCTTACTCGCGTTATAAGGTCTGTAGTACTAAGAGGTAGGAGAAACTGTATTATTAAAAAAACACTACTAACCCTTATTTGTCGACACGCTTTTACCAGCTCAGTATTTTTAGTGCTTGATTCTATCTTGTCAAGAGCATTTGTAAGATCATCAGGCATTTTGTAAGTCCGCTTAACAGCGGGTTTTAACTGATCAGAAATAAGCACTTTTTATAATATTCCTTAAATACTGAGATCATACAAAACCGGCTGATTCTTTCGCGCACATGTACTCTCACATGTAGAACTTTACCAAATTATATGACATTTGACAATTGACTTATTGACAGAATTACTTTCGATCCGAGCCAGACACACATGATCAATTTCTGCTAAGCATTTTACTATTTAATATTATCAATGGACTTTAAAAATAAATTGTGCTTAAATAAACGGAAAAATAATGAAAATTTCTTACTTTATTAATATTCTATTATTATTTTATTGTAAGCAACTTTTTCCAATTTCAAAATCTTGACTTCGAATAACATTACAGCACTCTAGGGTATATAAGTATTATGTTAAAATTATAAATAATATTAAATAATGAATTCACGAAAGGTGAGACGCAATCTTGTATTATATAGCCACTAAAACAAGCATAAAATGTCATTATTATTTTTGTGGGTGTCTTCTATCTCACATAGCACTGGCCACTAGAGCTAGAGTAGCCTAATTGCAATTTTATGACTTGACTTATTTATATTTTTATAGTCTAAAAATGTTAATCTACAAAAGCACAGTGACCGAAAATTGTTAACTTAATTCTTACACAAATAATGGTGTAAATTAATTTTCACCTAAAAAATAATAAATACTTTTTGTTATTAGGCCACTCTGCCTCTAGCAGCCTCATACAGGAGGTTATTGCATAGGAAAGTTATTAAAATAATTTAGTTCACGTTAACGTTTTATTGATATTCTTTATTGGCATTGTCGTTTTGTATTATGATGGTATTGTTTATCGCTAATACCAAGTAATATGTCTTCTTCTTCTTCTAAAATTGATGTCTATAAGTAATGGCGTATCTATTGACATGACAATTGATTGACATTGACTAAATGATCACAGATATGTGACAGTTATTTTAAAAGGATTATCGCGCGTTTCGCATACTAATAAGTTTTATAATTAATTTATTAAAAGTTTACTTTTGAGTGTAGCGTCTTATTTATAAATATTGTTTTCTTACAAACCTACACTGCAAAGAACTGATTTACCATTTTTTCATAGATATCAAATTAGATTAAAATAGAACAAGATTTAGATCTAAAGTAAATAACAATGAATAATAGTCAAAGTGTGTCGCAAAGCTCTGATATATTTTCACAGGCTAGTTATGACTGTAACATTGAACAAGAGAACCTTCAAGTATCCTTTTTATAATTAGAATGGATTATTTAATTAATAATAAACGAGATTTTGAAGTCTAAAAATTCCCGCCAAAACTATTTATACCATACAAGTTGAAAAGATTAAGAACCTATTATATATAAAATATATTTTACGTTTGTTAATATTTTATTTGATATCCTTAAAGCGTAATCAGATGGATAGCACCTGTTATGAAACACTATTGTCACGATTAAAAACGTCTATGAATAAAAACGATAAACAGATCACTATAGAAGATTTTAATAAAGTTATTCATGATTGCAGGAGCTGTATTGAGCAGGTATTAAAATATAAAGAAAAAATGAAATTTTTATTATAAACTATTTTATTAAGAATATTCTATTTTTCAGTGTTTAAACTTAGTAATACAAGAGTTAGAAGACTCTACAAATTTTAAAACATGTTATTTCTTGGAAAATGCAATATCTATACTACAAATGCTGTCGAATTTTATTAAAAGAGTTTTAGAACTGATTCCATTGTTTTGCTGTAATGTCAAAAGTTTTCCAATTATCACGGGAGAGATTATTCTTTTTGTCTTCAACCACTGTAAGAACAGGTAAGTAAGTGTCATTTTCAAAGCCATAAGTAGCGTTTTAAGGTAGTTGCATGTGGTGGTGTTATTCAAATATCAAAGGATTAAATTTCTTCTAAAGTTAGTTGAAAAATAGCTTTGCTTATAAATTAAATAGTAGAGAAGATTACTAATATAAGATATTTTTAGTGAGTATATTTATGGAGCAAATATAAGTATAGCGGAACAACAACTAAAGGATATCTTTAGAGCTTGTCACGAATTGCAGCTCACATATCTGATGACAATGGAAAAATATTACACATTCAATTTGAATGAAAGAGAGGAATTTGATGTGCTGTTGGAAGGTAAATTTATTTTCAAAAATTGTTGTGCTTAAAAAAAGTAAGATCAGAAATGGAAAATTACAAAGGCTCATATCTAGGACTGCAGTTGCTCTGTTGATTAATTTTCTGTATTGATTTCTGTTGAACATATTAACCGACTTATATATATGTATCTATGTGGTGCTATATAATTTTGACCTTAACATACATTCTATGAAACTTTAATTGTTTTAGCGGCTAATCTCAGGAACTACTTGGTATATTTGAGAACATAATAATATGCATGTATATATTTTTATAATTTAAAAAAGCGGATGTAGACATAGTTAAAGCTGTATTGTGTTATGTTATAACTCGGATTTAGTTCCAAAAATATTAGTTTACATCTGAAAAATGGTTTTCAATAGACTGTGAGGTCTTACAACCAAAACTTTAAAATGTAGGATTACTAAATCCTTAATCCCAGTTGTGGGAAGTGTTCAAGGTGCGATAATGGTATAAGAAAATTATATTAAGCTAAAGCCAGTGATACAGCTTTTCTCATCTTACAGCACTCGATATAAACCTAAGAATATGTGACGTAGTTCAGAGCTTGGATATTAAAACAATGGCAGAACAGTGGAAATCCTATACAAGCATATGTGAAAAATATTCAAAAGACCTACAAGACAAGGATGTGTACAGCAAATGTATTAGGCAGTTGAGTGGAATGGTAAAAAGCAACTTGAAGTTGGTATTGGATGTAAGTTACAGATTGATTTTTTTATGATAAAAGAAGACACACAAGCACGTTTCAGTTCTTGGAAGATAAAAAATCTCAGCTACGATATGCTGTTGACCTATGTTTTTTATTTGGTAATTTACAGACAGAAAGATTGTCCTTTGTAAGTGCTGTTTGGGTCTGGACGGAAGTTCTATATTCTTACTGCCCATTTAATATTCAGATTTCCAGACAAAGTCAAATATGTGTCAGAAAAGTTATAAATTTGATTACATGTTTGATTCTGTGGTGACCACCATTTAACCATGAGCTAAGTGTAATGTAAATTTTTGTAAAATATATTTTATGAAAATTAACATTATTATAAAGCCATCAAGAAGGACAGAAATATGCCTTCTCTCTCACTTTAAAGCATATTTTCCCCAGATGCCAACAGCTAGCGGAATGGAGAAAGTTGTTTTAAGACATGTGAAGGTTGCCAGTTTCGGGATTAAAATATCATCAAAAATGTCCAATATATTTAAAACTGGGAAAAACGATTATGATGTGATTGTAGATTTATTAATTCATTTGTACATGTAAGTCATTCAAACATTATTATTATTTCGAGAGAATCGGCGAACATCTATTTTTCATACCCCTAAATGTTAGGGGTAGTCCACCCCTAATTTTTTATTTTATTTTTTAGACAAAAATTTTAATTTATATTTTTTTATCATACAACATACAAAATACATACAATCCTCAATTTTTACCCTTCTACGATCAACCCTTATTTTTTTTTCTTTTTTAGTATGCTATTTTTTGCCTACACTAGAAATTACTAGGAAATTATTTATATGACAAAACAACGTTTGCCAGGTCAGCTAGTAATACATACAAATAAAAATGTTTGTGCAGAGACGGCTTTATCTTCTACAGTGATTTCTTCCAGGCAACATTTGCATTTAAAAAGAAAATGTATTATCAGTATTTCTTCTCAATTATGTTTGTTAGATAACCTACTATTGTAAATCTTGTTTTGCTTCTGAATATTCTATGCTATTCTAGAAAATCTCCTAAAAATATTCAGAAAATCTATTAGGAGTGGCATCCGTCTCTTTCTACCTGTATGTGTAAGACAGTGATAGAGAATGATTTGAAGTAAACAAGAAGTTACTAAAATTTAATAGCCTTTCTTTTTTTGTTAATCAATTATTGCACATTCAAATTTCTCCTTTCAGCTACAACAATTCTTACATGGAGTTATTTATGGGAACATCCTCAAAAGTAATAAGTCTTATTCAAGAAAATGTTGCTCTCGCTCTGCAGTCTCTAGTCGCTGTACTTGTGAATGATAATATCTTTTTAAATGTAAGTACACATTTTCAAATCAAATCAAAAATCTTTATTGTTTCCTTATATATGGTACAGAATCGAAAGTCCCTAGTCCCCACACTAGGGCAAGCCTGTGTCGTGGGTGACTAGTCTCTTCCAGATGATGGGTTACAATAAATAAAGACATCTAAGCTAACTTATGTCTACTTACGATTAGTGTCTATTTAGGTGAGTATTTGCATTATGTGTGTTAGTGTATGTATGAAGTGAGAGCGTGTTACGTGTGTTGATATAATATAGGTATGTAACAGAATACGTGTGATAGGTGGATAATGTAAGTTTACAATGCTAACGAAATACGAAATAGACTTATTATAGTTATTTATTTATTATAGTTAGTTACATTATAATGTAACTAACTATAATAAGTCGGAATAAACTTATTACAATTATTTACTTAACATTACTAACGGAATAAACTTAATACAATTAGTAACTCAACATTACTAACGAAATTAACATGTGTTATATGTTTAATATAGAATCGGCTATTGTGATATTATGGCTCAATAGTTAAGCATTGCCTAGCATCTAGTTAAGTGCGAGAGATACTGAGTTCTAACCACGGGAAATCTGTAGTTTCGTTCAGATAGGGCAATCTTAGACAAATCACTTAGATTAGTAAAACAGGATTTACATAATCGATGCATATAAATTTAAACTCTCTTAAGGGAAAGACAATTAAAATATTGTTTATATATTTTTGTCATGATTAACTCTTAACTACTCCAATTAGGTTTTGGGCCTTCCAATTTATAAAGGGCATGTCAAAAATGTTGAAGGTCACTTTTTCCTAGGCTATGCTATGGTTTCCTTGTAATATTTCCTTTTATAATGAAGGCAAATAAAGGTTTTTTTTAATAATATAGCATCTAAACAAGATGCGCCGTCGACCTTTTTTGGCTTTATTTATTTTTTGTATTTGAAAAAAAATAGGCTTGAAAACTTTTTTTTATTGCACATGAAGGCACTATATCATTAAAAAATCGAAAATAAATTGAAAAATAAATTGCCCTAAAGATTTTGTCCTGCCCGAGTCGAAAGTTTTTTCAATTTGTTTTCGATTTTTAAAAATAAGCTTCTTACCTATTCTTACTTTCAGCATATAACTTCATTAAAGGGAACATACACAGATGAAAGATATGTTGGTTATATGTTGCTTCTGACGTCCATAATGCGAATAATATTACTCAATAATGTCAAAATTTCGGGGGATATTAAATTACGGATAATTGAACGGATTTTTAACTATTTACCAAATGGTATGTATAATTTGTACTCAAGTATTAATCCGATTATACGAATTATTTTTCGTATTTCCCTGTTACTGTACTCATGTACTGATTGAGATCCCGGGTTCGCACTCTACGGGTGAAACATTACTTTGGTATATAAAAGTTAAATAAATACCTACGTATTAACACAAAGTACATAAAATAAAACTAAAATGAATAATTAAAAACAAACAAAAAACAATTTTAAATTTCGTGATTTAGAGCAGTAGCGCAGCGAGGACAAGGGCCCCGGTCTACTTTATCTTAACGCTCAAGCGGGAATCAGGTCCTCATCCCCTCTTTTAGCATAACTTGAATTAAATGAACCTCCTAAATCATAAAGAGCAACAAGAACTTTAAAAGACCTCCTGTTCTACGCGTATATCTTCTCAAAGATAAGGTTAAAGGGGCCTTAAGGTCCGGGGCCTACGATAGCTATGCCACTAATTCAGAGTCAACATAGCTTAGCCGATTTTCAGTCTGTCTCTTATCTGATAAAAAGTAGTACCAAAAATTTCAAACACAGTGGAAAGGCTGTTAAACAATAATTATAATGGATCTTGTACTGCCTGAAGTGGAAGTAGGGATTAGAGAATGTAATTCCTAACCCCCCTTCCTAGGAGAGCACGTTAGGCCATCAGCCTTGGTTCTCACCACAAAATTAGTGGCGATCTTCATAAGTCTACCTATACTGAACCAGCTTTTAAAAACCACTATGCGAATGGAGAACTCTAGACAGCTGTCACTAGGTTGAAGACAAATATATTTTGTTTAACTCATTTCTTCCAGGTCATACATGGTTTAATGTGGGTTTAACGTTTAAAAGTGAATTAAAAGGCGGTTATTACAAGTATTTTGGATTTCTAGAACACCTATTGATAGTGGTGCATGCTCTTGCAAGGACTTTAAATTGTGAGGAATATTCAGTTCTTGAGAGAATAATGTATTTAAGTTTGTTACACACGGATTGCTTAAAAGCGTTGTTTGCTGTTGATTTATGGGTGTTGTTGATGAGGTAATTGACCTGTGTTATTCTTTACTATTGGATTTCTTTTTGATTGGGATATGTTTCCCAAATATAGTGATTTCCGTACTATACAGAGGTTATTTTAATAGTATAGAACCCGAATTGTACCTATATGCAGTGCTCTCCAAACTTTTTGGAGACATATTCATATATTGAGATGAGATAAAGATAAAACAAAAGAAGAACATGATAGACATGCATGGAGTAAAACAACAGCAGCCATGTAACATCCGGTTTAAAATTCAGGGTTGCTGCAAAGTATCGGAAACGACGCGTCATAAGTTAAAATAAATAAGTTAACTAATACAATTCGCGTTTTAAAAGTTTAAAGTGTTTTATTTAAATGTGTTCTACTTGCGTAAACTAAAGACACTAATTGAAGATAGTGATAAAATTAACTACTTGGGTCTTCGTACTGTTCAACGTGACTGTTGAAAAATGGTTTAAAAGCTGTATAGAATTTATAGATCGATGAAAATTTTATTTTTACAGATCAAATGACCCAAGGCTAATAGCAAATACGACCTTATCATTATTAAAAGTTTATCAAAAGTTAAATAAAAGCAGAACATTCCAGATGTCCCCCCAAAAAGTGTTTCTGATTTACGCAATAAGGAATCTATTCAAACTATGCGCTGTTCAAGATAAAGTACTGATATTTGGGAAATTAAGCCTCCTTGATACCTTGGATGTGTGGATTGGAATGGAAGCAAAGGAATTAATCGTTCTGCAGAGGAGAGAGGAGGATAAGTGCATAGGCGGTGTCCTAAATAATATGGTCCATGGAATTATGGGCAAGGATAAGGTGGAGAGTATGGTATGAATATGTTTTACATTAACACAATAATCCAATTAAATTCTTAAATCTACTTAGATAGAGTAAATATGTGCTTTTGTTTTAATTATCAATAATATAAATAAATAAAAATAACCATTTTACATTTTTTGTCGGAAAACCTTTTATATATAATACCTGTGCCAGGGTTTCCAGCTCTTCCATATATTTAATAATAATTTTCCTTTATATAATTAAACATGTTTTTTTAATATCGAATATGTATATATGTATATATTTTTTTAAATATAATAATTATGATAGTTTTCTTCTACACTGGAACACCAATCACAGAGTGTGACGTGGTTTGTGGGGTTTATATTCGTTAAGTGCATGTGTCACCCGGAAACTGAATATGACCACATATGACGTCACAATCATGGTTCTATAAGATTAAATTTAAAGATTTTGCCTTGAATTTGAGGGCGTCCCCTAATTTAATTCTAATACCACAAATCACTCAGGTGTTCCTTCATTTTTGTTATGACTTCTCTAGAGACGATACTTGACTGTGTTTATTCATTTTATTGTAAAAAAATATATTTTTTTAGGCGGATCACCCGTTCGAGTTTCTCGTGAAAGCGTGGCAGAAGGTTTGCCCGTGCAAGTTTGATGCTAATATTTCTGAATTTGCCTACCTTTGTGTTGAAAGAATTACTGCACTGACCAATTCCGTGCTAGGTGTCATTTCCAAGGAGTATGTGATTAAGGTATTGTTTTCTTTAAAACAAAGTTTTTTTACCTTTTTTTCTGATGTATTGCCCGTTAAAAATGTTTTATTTAAACGTGTACTACTCGCGTAACCGACAGATTCATATTTGTTTGTTTAATTTCAGATCCACAATGTCATAGCGAATATATTGAAAAGCGGCAACGAAAAGCTTATATATATACTTTTTCCAATATTTTGCAAATTTTACGAATCACATTTAAACATTAACGACGCACAAAAAGTCCTAAGCGACACTTTAATCTGTTTAATTAATATCAACGACGATATTCGACATCATATATTTGTAACTCTCAATAGAAATAAGATCGACAAACTACTGCAATTTATTGAAACAAATTCATCGTTACTGAATTATTTTTCAAAATATAATTATATGCTTGATTTTAGTGCTGTAGAATTTAAAAAACAATTAGATACAATGGGAAGTGTATGCTTTTCTCACGAATGTCTAAGTGCACATAGAAATAATTCTACAGTAGAAACCACTAAGTCACACAGTAACTTCGATCTAAACATCGATTCTCTGTTTGACGATCCGGAAAGTGAACCTTGTCCCAAAAAAGTAAAGCTCAACGAACATGAAGATGTGTTGGAGAAGCTGGAGGAAAGCGCATCGCGTTTGTGCAATGTTAAACACGATTTGAGTGATGAACAAAAGTTGAGAATAACGAATGTTTGTACCAAGTTGAAAGATATAGTTGAATAACGGAATTATTTGTTTAAATAATACACTTTAACGGTTTAAAACACGATATATTAGTTAAACTTATTTGAAAATGATTTTTAACTTCGGCCCGTGTCTCGGTCTCCCCGTGACCACGGCTGCTGCAAAAGAATCCGACACGTCCGGCCGAAGTTAAAAATCATTTTCAAATAAGTTCAACTAATATATCGCGTTTTAAACCGTTAAAGGTGTTTTATTTAAATGTGTACTACTCGCGTAAACTATAGACAGGAATTACTTGTTTTTAAACTTTGCCAACTAATGTGATATTCTGAAAATTGTATGACTCGGTAACTCAATCGGTTAGAGTAACAGCACGGAACGCTGGCAATGCCGGTTCAAGTCCTGTCCGAGTCCTAAATTTTTGATTTTTAATTTATATAGTGCCATTGTGTAGAATAACAAGTAATAAATATTAAGGTTTTCAAACTGTAGATAATTAAACAGTGTCGATGTTTAAAAATCTCAAACTACCCTCATTTTATTAAGTTTCGTCTATCACTCAAATACATGATAAAAAGGATCAATAAAAGAACAAGAATATTTCACATTTATATTTATTGTTGTGTTAAAAAAATCTTTACAAATAAGTGAAATGTAATAATAACCGTTACAATAAAACCGGCGACGCAGTGGCAGGTGGGAGCACGACAATTCTATTAAATATAATACGTAGAGGGTTAATACGAGATAAAAAATCATAATTACAGCATCGCAGCCGACACGCCACTGCGCCGCAGGTGAATTAAATTATAATTAATTGATACTCGGAGGTAATAAGACCTTAGCTCACGTAAAGTATCAACTTACGTCAGTCGCACTACAATTCTCTTCGTTCCATCAGCGACAATCACAACTGTACATTTCTATACGCGTTGAGTCATTTATAATAAACATCCTTCCGCATAGCCTAACGTTATCGTTCATACTATTGTGATGGGGTCAAACACGTTCACTTAGAATTGGCTAACTAAATAAAAATTATTATACGTTACATTATTGCCTTATACAAGAAATTATAGCGAACTCAGCTATTGCGATAGAGCGTCGGCTCAAAGCGTTTATACAGCTACAACTTACCAAATATACTTTCTAAATAAATTATCAAAATAATACAGGAGAGTAAATAGTCCTTTTCATATCTTCGCGGTACTGAGAACAACGTCCTAAAATACACTTCTAATTAATACGGACACTCGGGTTCGGTCGAATTTTCGTAGAAATATACAAGAGTGCGCTGGTCGGGCTGGTCGTTCGCCATGAGTTGCGAAGGTGCTTTTCAAATTTGAAAATAAGCAGAAAAAGTCTCTATCAAAATATAAAATAGTTTTGAGCACTCAAACAATACTTTACAATGTATATGAAAATTATTTGACTCGCGGCGAGCGAACAAACCAACCCAAATAGTGATAAATATGTAATTTTAGAGGCACCTCGTTAGTAGGCAGTTATTGGAAAGCTATTATATTTGTGCGAATAATGATCAATCTTATTTTTTTTCTATCAGCCCTTTCCCACAGTTGGGATTTGGGCCTTATAAGGGGGTATATAGGCCTATCTGCCATGCTGGTCTCCTACGTTGTTATACGAATGTAAATAATGAATTTGGTGCACGATCAAGTATCAAACCCCGACCTGACGGACGTAAAAGCTTTTCACATCAATCTAAATACAATATTGAAAATGGAATGGTCGAGTCAACGAACCTCAATACGGCAGTAATAAACGAAAGGAAACCTATCACTTGTAACTTTTAAAACTCTACTTTGGATACTATTTACACGTGTGCGAGAATTGTCAATAGATTTGCACTGTCCGGGATAATATCTGAATTCCGTTTTCTAAAACTACCCTCCGCCAAATGTTCTGAGGTGTCGCCGCGTACGCCCGCTAGATACCGCGAGTTACACTAACGTCAATAAATATAAATGATAACACATAACTACACATTAAAATATCTTAGGCCAATTCCCGTGTGACTTTCGGCCACGTGAAATTCGCTTAACTAAATCTTGGCACAAACAAAACAGCTATCGTGTCGCAATACATAGGCTACAGAAACAAAAATAGCTTAACGAACATCGTAGGACGCGATATAGAAAAGCTACGTAACACGAAACAATGCCTAATAATATACCCTCAGAACAGTTAATATGTATACATATAAAATTCAGTTCTTTATTAGGATTATTTGGCATCTATCACCAATATTAATCTACGTTAAACATGGTATACGAAGGTGAGAAATACCTAATCTGTAGGCGCGCGTCGAATCGAAACTGAAACGTCGAACGATACGCCTAGTACAATACAATGATCCCTGCCGAACCTAAATTTCCTCCGAACTCACGCACACTGACGCGACACGACGTCGTAGACGCACACACACACATAACCGCACACCCTGAACTCCAATTTGATAGCGTTCAAGTAGCCCTTCGGGAGCCGGGAATGGTGGCGTTAGCACATTAGACCTTCGAAAACGTAAGTATACATTAATTGTAAAATACTTAGGGGTTTTGATTTTGAAGTAGTACCTAAGTTACCACAAATTCTCGAATGACTGATATGAAAACGCCAAAAACCCATTAGATAAGACTTCGTAACTAAATTTGCAAGTGAAGCAAAAGTATAGCTAAGTTAAGGTAATCGCACATTTGATAGCAACGTACGCGGCTATCACCCGCCGATCGCACTTCATACCCACAAAAGTGCAAAATAAAACGTATTCGGCGCTTGCGCAGCGCACGTTACTGTCAAATGTGCGTATACCTATAATTCGTATAAACCCGGATCGCTTAAAATAGAAAGGAGAAAAGCGTCGAAATTTACGTTACTCTATCGAGAATTACGAGACATTAACCGATAATCTATTTCTAAATACTTGGATCGATTAGTTGGGCTTTTCGATGTCAAAACTCGTTTGTACAGGCAGTTTTGAGAGCGAAAATCTTATTTAGGTGCCTTACTAAACCTTATCGATGGATTTTAAAAATTACGTATAGGTACTCAGGGCAGATTCAATACGGGAGGCTATAATATTATAACAATTCATTATCTACGTATAGATATTTTTAGGGCTTTTAATAGAGTTTCGTCAAGAATAAAGATCTTTAAATGTTTGTGCTGCAAGTAGAAATACGAACAGACATATAACAGTATGAAGAAAATATTAACGTTTTAAATTATATTAAAACCAGATATTACTTTCTGATCAGTCATCTGAAGCATATTTATACCTTTTTTTATCTAAGTAAACGTTTGTTTTTATAATATAATATACATATTTCTTCAAACAGTATTAAATAAATACCTAGTGATATTCGAATTCTTGACGTAACCCATATATATCGTTTTACAATAACAGGGAATGTTCGAAAACCAGTTTAAACGAAATACACTATTTATACTGATTGGTTAAAATTAAATTGCGTTTTCTATTTTTAAATAAAACACTTCCAACGGTTTTAAATGCAGAAAATGTTTTTAACGACCACTGCAAAACGTTTCGCCCTAAGTCAACAATTTTCTTTCGCGTTTGTAACCGTTAAAAATGTTTCATTCAAATGTGTAGTAGTGCGTCAACTCAGACATCAATTGTCGATTATCAAACTATATGTTAAAGGCTTTTTGAAGTATAAAGCGGTATAATTTAGGGCATTGATAGATAACCATTCAATTTCATTCTAAACCTTACATAGAACATGCTCTTAACGACAGCTTATATTAAACGCCTATATACGAACTGGTGAAATACGATATAATGTTATCGACACTAATCTTGCCTTAAATACCATGGTATGTAGTTATTACATAATCTCAAACAAGATGTTACATAACTATCTCTCGTTCTATGATGAATGATTCAATTTCACTATTGCGATAAATTTTATAATGTTGGTAAAAATGATTTATTGCAATAATGAAATTGTTAGTAAGGTGTATTTGTGTGGGTGTCAAATGTTACGCGCGCGGCACAGTATAAACGAAGCAGTAAGGCAACCGTACAACGTTCGAAACTGTGTTCTATTTTTAAATACTTTATTGTAATAGACATTTTATAATTTAGCAGCAGCTATGGTCACCTAAAAAACTGCTACGCTCGCGCCATCTGTTCTGTCGAAATACCAACTTCGATGGAACAGATGGTGCTAGCGTAGCAGTTTTTTACTTTGACGTCAGAGACATCCTACATTTAATCTCCCCGTGACCACGGCTGCTACTAAAGCATCCAAAAAGTGCAGTTAAAATAATTTTCAAACAAGTTTAACTAATATATAATGCGTTTTAAACCGTTAATGTGTTTTATTTAAATGTCTACTACTCGCGTAAACTACAGAGAGTGTTTAAAAACATAGTTGTACAGTTGAATTACTACTTGTTAATACATGGATTACAATGGGTGCGCGCGCATGTGTGTGTGATGTGGTGTGTCTAGACGTGCGGCACGCGGTATGCGAGCGTGTTGCGCCCGTGGTGGCACATGGGCACTGGCAGCGGCACATTAATGGGCATGTTGCCGAGCGTGGCCGAGTGCGGCACGCTCACGGGCAGGGTGCCGGTGTGCGCATGCGCATGGGCGTGCGCGTGCGACAGCTGCAGGTGCTGCATAGACGCGCTGCCGTGCAACAGCATCTCGGGTGGCATGTGGTACACGCTCGCAGACTGTAACGAAGAACATACACATATATAACATTAAAACTGGATTTGTCAGAGATTTTACTCAACGCTAAGATTTTTTTATCCCTTGGCTCACTTGATAGCAGGTGAAACACGGCGACACCCATATGTTAACTTGGACGAAACAAAATGGCCTTTCCAAGTCTGACATATTCGACTTTGATAATTTGATTCCGAATATTATGTAGAATAAATTGCTACCATGAGATTCAAGAGCACGTCAATAGTCTGTTACAATTTAGATATTTTTTTAATACTCAACATACATGGTGGGCGTGTGTGTGCGCATGGTGCTTGTGTCGGTGGGGCGGCAGGGCGGGCCGGGCTCAGTAGGCGGACGCCTCCTTGTACTCAGAGTTGTCCATCGTGAAGAAGTCCTCGAGCTTCCACTGCAGGGTTTCGAATGTGGGCCGCTTGAGGGCGTCCTTGTGCCAGCACTCGAGCATGATCTCGTAGAGGGCAGGTGGACAGTTGGGCGGGCACGGCATACGGTAGCCGTGTTCCACTTGGTGCATCACCTCCGCGTTTGACATGCCTGCGTACACGAGAAATTGTTAGGAGGTAGTTATAAAAATTATGTTCCTAAGCTTTAACAATACTGTTATTCTGTTGAACTTTTTAATGATAGAGAAGGACAGACAGGCATTTTCCCCAGCCTATAGTATCTAAACAAAATGCGCTATCGACCTATTTTGACTTTGGATTGGAAATACACGAACAGACACCGAAACGCGATTAAGCTTCACGGCGTTTTCATCTGTGGACGGTGGAACGTGACGCGGACGGAATTTCTATATTTCTACCACGCATTTAATATCCAGGTTTCCAGATGAAATCCAGCATGTTTCCGAAAAATTATAAACATTAGCCTACATTGCTACCATTAGACGAGCCCGTCATAATATTAGTACAGTATTGGCTTATCATCTAAGTTTCAGACAGGTATTGCATACAGTCTGTTAAAAATATCTGTCTGGATTGTTCTGTGATATGAAATGTTTCTGCTCGTGTAGGTAGTCGCAGAGAAACTTTCAATATTTTTTACATGTTATTGCACGTGAAAGCACTATATAATTTAAAAATCGAAAATAAATTGAAAATATTTTCCACTCGGCCAGGACTTGAACCGGCATCGTCAGCGTTCCGTGCTGTTGCTCTACCAACCTGGACTCGGTAGCTCAATTAGCGGTCGAAATTTTTTTCAATTGATTTTCGATTTTTAAATTATATAATATAACATCTTCTTCGTACAGGTCAACTCGAGTTAGTTTCAGCTTTGTGTGACAACAAAGTCAATTTATCGATTCAAATATCATTATTCATTTAAAACAAAGCACCATCATTTTTATCGTTCTGCAACACAACGATAATAAACAATAAAAATTGATCGGATTTTTTATTCTATTGACATTTTAAAAGCAAACTGCTAATTGTAGTAAGGAAGGTAGCGTAGGGTAACATTAAATTGATCATATGGCATATAACAATGTGTTTTGTTGTTCTCTGGATTAAAATAATGTCTCACCCGGATAGGGCGTCCGCCCATAAGTGACGAGCTCAGTGAGCAAGATCCCGAAGGACCAGACGTCGGACTTAATGGAGAACTTGCTGTAGTTGGCCGCTTCTGGTGCTGTCCATTTGATCGGGAACCTTGCGCCCACCCGTGCTTCGTATTCGTCCTCCTGAAGAAAAAAAAAGACGTTGGGTTTGAAATATTTAAGATAATTATTATAGTAGGTTATGGACCAAGTCAATAATAGTAATAAGGAACGCTATTTTTAATACCTACTTATATAAAGTACTAAGAATGAAGTATTAGGGGGGGGGAGGTGATTTTACATTAAAACTTAACAATGAAGGTAAGGGCGTTTTATAAAGATAAAAGTTATACAAAAAAATAATTAATCATCTGTCTCATTCTATCTATGCGTACGCGGGTACTTAAGACAAAGACAACATCTATGAAATTTGTTTTCTAGTTTTAACTTATTTCTATATACATTTTAGTCACAACCCACATCTACACAATACCAATTGCATAATCTTAATATCTATCTGTAAATAATTGTTAGTGACAAAAATTTCTTGAATGTGGTGATATTTTTCCTTCACATTACCAACGGCTATTGTCTACCACCGTTCAAATGTGGAAAATCTATGGAGGTCGAAAACAAGGTCGGTTCGCTTATTCAGTTCATAGACATTTTAATTTGGTAATACTCGGATAATTGTAATTAGGTAAGTAGTTAGTGACGCTCGTGAATAATATAAACATTAGTAAATAATTATCTTGGGCGATTATATGTTTGCAATTTCCTCACGCTTCAAGACACTGACTAATACAATATGCAAATATAAGACTTGTCACTGTAAAGAGTTTAAACCTATTACTCATAAAGGTTGACATTGAAAATATATGAATAAATAATTAATGGGACCATTTGGGAGCTGTGCTGGACTGGGATTCGATTCCCGACTGAAACCAAATGAAAATTCTGAAACATACTGTCTATAGTTTACGCGAGTAGTACACATTTAAATAAAACACTTTAACGGTTTAAAACGCGATACATTAGTTAAACTTATTTGAAAATTATTTTTAACTTCGGCCCGACGTTTCGGTCTCCCCGTGACCACGGCTGCTGCAAAGCATCCGAAACGTCGGGCCGAAGTTAAAAATCATTTTCAAATAAGTTTAACTAATGTATCGCGTTTTAAACCGTTAAAGTGTTTTATTTAAAAGTATTTATATTTATAATAACGAACTATACATGGTTTATTACTTGCAACACAAACGGTTCTAGTAGGAAGAGTTAGGTTTTAAGGTCAACCGATATACGATAAGCGACTTTCGTCCGTGGAGGCAGCATTAGCCAACAAAGTTGGTAATGGTCGCTTCGTGGTTGCGAACATTGTTGTGTTGGGTCACTTGCCAGTTTGCAACAGTCTTTGTCTATCTCCCGTGTTGAATAGGGGGTAACCTATTTCTATGTACCTTTCCTATGTATCTTACTTTAAGATAGTCTTAACTAGATCTAGATACTTGTGCCGTGTATAAAAAATTAATTAATGTTTTAATTTCATACATAGGCATTTTAATCGTATTTACGAGTTCACTTTGTAGTAAGTAACATTGGAAAAACATTTTTAATTTCTTTGGAAATGGCGTGAAACTACTTGTCTGCTGATACAATACATCAAGAAAATATATTGTGAAACGTGTGTATCATTAGCTGATTGTAAATCACATAAATAACAAAAAGACAGTTTCGAATAAGTATTGTATGTAGTAAACGCGAGTAGCCCATTTAAATAAAACATTTTTAACGGTTAAAAAGGTAGGGGCCATAGTTAAAATAAACAAAATATAAGATAATTAACATATTTCGAATTTCCAACTGTTTAAGCGCGTTCTATTTAAGGTTTTTTGTATATTCAATTTACAGCAACAAGGTAGCAAAGTTAAGGTAATCTTTTTCAAAGTGAGATCACTATTATATAAAAATATACAATGACAACACATTAGACCACAATGAACAATAATATTTATTTCCGTTATCACCTTCCTTACATAATGCACTTATTTACTTCCGCGAAACTATTCAATGAATAACGAACATATGTTTACGTCACGTCATACGAGCGATATGATGAAGTGGAGGAATGGTCCGTCGTTCGACGTTAATGTCTTTGGTGTGCGATAATTATAAATATTGTTTTATTTGAAACAGACACATTTCTATGTCTTTGTCACTATATTAATACTAAGGATAGATGTTAATATTAAGTATATGATTGTCTACTGCCATATACTATACAGGACTTCGTGTCGCAATGTTTTGCGTCTTTTTCGACAGAGGATGACGGTCAAGCATGTCATTCATGCAAGCATGGGAATGCCATTCATGATGGAAAGTGAAATACTCCAGCCTATATAACGTGCTGTCGACCCATTCTGACTATCGACATTCAGAAATCCACAGACTGCAACCAAATCACGTGGTTCGATATTGCTACCTATTTAACGTCCACAGTTTCTGAAAACTCACAACAGAAACTACAAATTGACGTGAGAAACATATGGACATCGTGAGAGTCAAAACCATGTGATTATTAGCCATACATTGGTACTATCGGACTAACCGGCCCGGTGTAACGAACCTATTTGATAGAAATACTAAACGATTACACCTAGAGTTTTTATATCTTATGAAGTTATGCTTTTAAACACTGTTTGTAGTTTACGCGAGTAGTACACATTAAAAAAAAACACTTGCAACGGTTTATGACGCGATATATATTACTTAAACTTATTTGAATAATATTTTAATTATAGCCCATGCATGCTTTGCAGCAGCCGTGGTCGCGGGGAGACTTCAGTTGAATGGTGTCTCTGACGTCGAAGTAAAAACTGCTATGCTAGCGCCATCTGTTCCGTCCTAGTTGGTATTTGGCAAAGTTAAATTAATATATATTGCGTGTTAAACCTTTACAGTGTTTCATTGAAAAGTGATGTTTTTGTATATTCACCCATAGCTTTACATACAAAATGTTTTAATTGACAATCTCACCTTGATAAGCCTAGCCAATCCAAAGTCGGCAATCTTGACGATGTTCGCCTCGGCAACTAGGACGTTCCTAGCGGCGAGATCGCGATGGATGTAGTTCTGCGATTCGAGATAAGCCATGCCGGCCGCTATCTGCGCCGCCATGTCGATCAGCTGTTGCAGTTTCAGACCGCGGCCTTTGCCTGAAAGTAGTCAGAGGACTGTAAGCGAGTGATCATAATACTGGATAATTCCACATCACATATTATATATAGTTTATAATTTATACTAATAAGTTTATTTGAACGCGCTAATCACAGAAATTACTGGCTCGAATTGAAAAATGATTTTATGTTGCTTACAGCATTTATTGTGGCTTTAGGGTCAAAAAATTAAGCTGCAACCAAAGGAGCTAAAAACAGGGAATATTTTTCATCTTTAGGGGTACTGTTGCGTGCGCTGCAAAAACGGTTCAAGATACCAAAAAATATGTATAAAAATGATCGGCCTTTAAGAAAACTTTCCCTTCTTAAAGGTCGATTTTATTTCTTGATACTTTTATCGTTACTATATGAAACACTTTGAGTACCTAATAATAATTTTATTTACAATCCAACGCTTAGTATGAAATTTGTTTTCAGAAGTCGTGATCATGGGAGAGCTAAAGATGGTGGGCGTCCCAAATGTCTACGTTAAATCTCTGTTAATTTTTTAACTATATTTCGTGCTCCACCTCCTTATGTGGTAAAAACGTTTCATACATTGTAGAGCGAGAGTGTGGATGCGCTAGCGAGGCGTGAGTTGGATACATTTGAATGTATGATGGAGGCATGGTCATTCATCAGAATCCTTCGTATTACACGCTTTCGAATCACATACAGACGCGATTAAACTTGACGGTGTTTTCATCCGTGGACGGTGGTTCGTGACCAGGACGGAATTTCGATATTCCTACCACCAATTTAATATCCAGATTTCCAGCTGAAGTCCAACATGTTTTAGAAAAATTAAAAAATTGATTGGAAAAATGTTGAACCCGTCGCTAGCCATACATTGCTACCATTACGCCAACGACCCCTTTACTGTATACTGCTCTGCCTCGACGGAACGTGGACGTCACCATAATCAAATAAATAAGACCTCCTTTCTTGTCTGTGGTATATTTAGATAAATCTATTATTCTTATACGATTAACCGCGTAGGGATCGAACCCCCGACCCGCACAAATCATACATTGCAACAATTTACACCTTGTTCCATAAATAATGATAGAATTAATACAGATTTCGTTTATGAGTTTCAGCAATTGTCGTCAATAATGGCTTTCCCGATGTACAAATTTATCAGTAAATATAAACAAATTTCTAGAATCAAAGTGCAGATTGTATTCTAGATACATTCTTTATCGAGCACTATCTGGTAGCACTACGGAAAGATGACATTGCACTTGATAAAGCGAAAAATTATCAATAATTCAAAGGACAACACTGATCATTCGATGAAACGTGAGATAATGGAAATATTCATTTATAATTAATCGATGCGGTTTAAAAGTTATATTCTTCAGAAAAAGTGACATCCCGTTTTTTAGATAGACGAGGACAGACAATGCCCTAGCCTATAGCATCTAAACAAGATGCGCGACCTAGCACATTTAACCATGTAAGCGGAGAGATATTTTTCAAGATAATATCATTAGCAAATTTTTAAAATAGCCAAAACTAAAAAAACATTCATAATTATTAACAAGGACAACAAACGAGATTTTCAATAAGGAGGAAAATATAGACGGGCAATTAACTTAGGCGAAAATGAATTTGACCTATTATTAGTGTAATAATTATGTTAACAAATTTCTTGTGTATTAACATTTTTAAGACTATGAAAATAATAATAAGTCAAGTAATAAAATTGCAGTTAGGCTCTGCCTCTAACGGCCTCTTATATTCGTACTATGCCCTTACGAAATTTAGTTAAATTAGAGACGAGGTTTATTTGAAGTGTAACATACATACCTTGTAAATATTCTAATAGCGAGCCGTTCTTCATCAATTCAGTGATGATGTAAATCGGTTCCTCGAGTGTGCACACCGCGTAGAGCTGAATCAGCTTGTTGTGCCTCAACTTCTTCATGATTTGCGCCTCAGCGAGGAAGTCCTTCGGGTCCATGGTGCCCGATTTGAGTGTCTTGATGGCGACGGGCGTCGTGCTGTTCCAGAGACCCTCCCACACTTCGCCGAACTGGCCGTGGCCGAGTTTCCTTACGAATTTGAGCGAGGAGCGGTCTATCTCCCATTGGTCTCTTGTTCTGTGCGATAGGCCCTCGGTTACTGGTTTCTCAACCTGAAAGAAAACGTTCAAATTAAGCTTTTTTTTTATGATGGAGGAGGGCAGATAGGCACTTGAGGGTAGATGAAATACATCTTAACAAGATGCAGTGACCTATTTTGGCTTTGGATATTCGGAAATCTACAGACTGAAACGAAACGAAGACGAAGTAATTTCAATTTTTCTACCACACATTTAATATACCGATGTGCTAGACGATGTAGAACACAATTCGACTAGAACTTAGTTTATATTGTTTAAGTAACAAGAAATAACATTATATAATGAGCCATTAAATTCTTAATACATAACTAGTTATTTATTCTCAGAGATATACATATTAATTGCATAGTTTACGCTATCATAGTCGCTATAACGACACAAAGAAAAGTGCGGCCCTTAAAAGTCATCAAATGCGTCACAGGGCAAAGTTAATAGGCAATTTACGAGCGCTAAACACCGTCAAGTGTATGCTTAATGCATCACGACATAACAGTTACGAGAACTAGTACGATAAAACACCTAACGTAATGTATATATATATTAATGAATATCATGTATAAAAAAATAATAAAAACGTATAGGAAAATAAAATACATTTAAATAAAACATTATTAATGGTTTAAAACGCGAAATATTTTGATTTCTTTTGTAATTTTGAAGCGTCCGTAGCGTAGTTAAATAAATTGTAAGTAAGTTGACAAATACGTATTTTGAACCGTTAAAATTGTATTATATTTAAATGTGTACTACTCGCGTGAATTACAAACGGTACTTAAAATATAGAGCACACTTCTTTGTCCGCTTTACTGATCGATTTTATTAACAGGCAATTAGTTAATTAGATGACAGTGCTATGCCCGAACGAAACAAATCACTTGTTTTTCCAGGACCTTTTAACATGTCTAAAATTCAACTAAAACATCACTTTTATGTACCTCAAAATGTATTATAAAGACATTCTCACTGCCGAAATAAAGGACATGGATGAAGTTTAAATCTATACAAAACAAAAACTCTTGAAAAGGGTTATTATACCATTTTAACGAAAAGTTTGCCTTGAAGACCCCGATTAACATGAAATAAAGGATTAGGGTGAAAGGAGTGGCGGCGTTTTCTTCCTCCTGTTGATTAACTGGTAGTAAATTGAAGGTTTTACTTTTTTATTTGTGAGACGTAGGATAGTAAACCTAGTTACCAACGTTAAGAAATGATTTGACTTTGAAAGCTGAAGACTCTGTGAACAGAGCAGAGTGTGTAGCGACTACAGTGACATTATTCAAATCGTGTCAAAGGCGTCAAAACGTGACTCAAGTACAAAGAAGGATACATGTGCGACGATTAAACATTCATTTCTACTGAGAACCGTTCAACTATTAATGAACTAAAGCCAATAAAGTGTTAATCTATACTAATATTAAAAAGTTGGAGAGTTTGTTTATTTTAACGCGTTAATCTCAGGGGCTATCGGTTCGAATTGGAAAATCATATTTTGGTGTTAGTAAAGCATTTATCGAGGAAGGCTTAAGGCTATAAAACACGCGCTGCCAATTGGAGAGAATAAACAGTGGGAAATGTTGAAAAATATACAGGGTTGATTTCTTCATTGGGGGTTACCGTTGCGTGCCCTGCGAAAATGGTTCAAGATACCCCAGAAAATATGTATGGAAGAATGATTCCTCTTTAAACGATCTAAAAAATGTCCGAGACAGTATATGTCTATCGTCTAAGATGAAGCTGTAAGAGCGACGGGATGCGATGGGTAACAGGTTAACTTTACAAAGATGAAGGGGTTTGCAAAAACTAATTAGGATGCCCAAAAGCCGCGGGCGCAGCTAGTATAAAATGGCGATTGTCGCGTCAATGTACGTCCAATAAACGTGTGCAATATATAAAAGGTAAAAATAAACATGTGACTCCTAACAATGGACCGCAAACGTCCATTGTCAAGCGGTGCTAGACAATTAGCCTTTACTTTTACTCGGCAGACCTACTCCCGAGCTCGTTATGCAATGAATTATTGAGCTGTTAAATTAAATTGAATGTTAGTCTTCTGTTTAACGTGTGAGTAATTGTATAGTTTCACGTGTTCCCAATACGAATGGAGTGCGAGACCACAAGTAGGGATTAGGGCTAACGATGCAATTTCTTCATCTTCTTTTATGATAGAGGATAGCATGGGGTTCCTTTGATGGCAGCGACCTACTTGGTGAATACCACAGACTGAGGTAACATATAGAACAACGGATGGAGCTTGTGTCTTAGATCCGTAATTGGCTTTCCAGACGAAGTCCAACATGTCACAGGAAATTAGACTGAATGGAACATGTTTGAGGGGGATCTAACCCACCACCAGTAGACCAGCCAGACGTTGACACTCTTAGACCAATGAGTCGTTTGAGATCCTAGAACACCTAGGCTTGTTTAATACCGGTGATAATCGAGATGGAACTGCGAAGCACCTACTACTTCCAAATTATAGGTTTGTAGAATTGTATTACGTAGTTTCAAACATGAATCTAGATAGCGACAAGACAGTATAAAAGCCGCAAAAAACGTGTTATGTGGTTATCAGTAACAGTGATAAAAGTATAATCGAGAAAGCACGCCGATAAAGTTTATCTTTTTATTAATGATAATAATTAAATAGAAAAAAAAACTGTCAGCAGATAAAACTTTTTATATGAAAGGTTCCTACCGAAAGCACATTCTTACATTAATTAAATTGTATTAAGTCACGTTAAATTTTTAGGCTATATGATACTCATTAGTTAGTTCATAGTAGCTAAGACCCTGGGTCTGCTAAAAGTCCTTTCAATCGTCGGGTCCTAGTTCTAAACAAGTTAAAGTATCTTATCCTTGTTCCTATTATTGTCATTATACATTTAAATACAGTTTTATTTTAAAAAAATAGTTGAAAGAATAAAGAGAACAAGGTAAACAACAGACACAAAATATACAAAGTAACTAGTGACAAAATGATATGAACAGAATTTTCGACAATCAAAATGATATGCACACATTCTTTGATAATAAAACATTATTTGGAGGCAATTGGAAACATTTTAATTTTATTCAGACCTAGGCTAGGTCGCTAGCTTGTAAAACTTGGGTTTTATAAAAGGTTCAAGCAGACAAACTGGCTGCGTATTTGCAATACGATAGTGTTTTTATTCACCTCACGTAATACAATATGGACGGTAATAATGGCAACTGACCGCAAATCCACGAGACCACCGCTGGGTGACCAATACGTAATATCCTAGCGATAAACATGCACTATCTAGGTTTTAACGGTATCTATAAAGTGTCGATGTAATTGTGTACAGATAAAGTCAGGTTCAGTGTGTTTACTTCAAATTGTTCAAACGTATTTTCTTTTGAATTTTTTGTTGCAAGTACAAAGGCTAATAATTTAATATTGCTTTATTACTAGTTAAACATTTTATGTAGTTTGATGCGTCTTTTAAAAATCGTGTGATTTGAACCGGCATCGTCAGCGTTTCATGCTGTTGCACTAACCAATTAGCACCCAGTCCTGTTTTTCAATTTATTTAAAATGTTTAAATTATTATAGTGCCGTCATGAGCAATAACATGTAAAAAATATTAAACTTTTCAAACTTTGAATGTCGATAAAATTTATGATTTGTATATTTATCTAAAGATACTGTAGACGTCTTTTTTATGTTTATTTTATACATATGTACATCCTCACTAACATTTGTATTTTGAGCATATTAGTAAAATACGATTCTGTTGACTACACTGCAATACGCGAAACCAACAAGCGACATTCAACTTCGGTTCCCCCACTTTAGACATAACAGGAAAAACGTCAGAAGAATTTTGTTTATTTGTCTTGTCAGTGTGGGTATATATTGGACCAAATGTGGTTAATGTACAATTACACAAAAAGACACTCTCTTATATTAAAGTGAGCTATGAGAACAAAAAAAAATATTATAAGACATAATAGATCTGTTGGTGCTTTTTAATACTTTCCAAAAAATATACAATAGAAACAGTTCGTTAGCATTGAATTGCTAAGCTAACGAATTATGTAATAATTAATCAGCGATAGGTAATAGATGATTCCATCTGTCACGTAACGATTCTTGCGCATGCGAATTACATAAATCTCTGTGACACCTCGGCGAGAATTAACACGTAGTGTGATGCACTTGAGTTTGCGAGTGCATACGGGCTCTATATATGACTATCAAATTGGAACACGCGATCAAGGAAAATGTTAAAATAAAAAATTTAAATAATGACTGTCTTTTGTCGTTCATATCTCGTTGCCGATTTTAACAATACTTTAATTAATGTTAAATATAAATGATAAGGTAGAAGAGAATCTATACTGATATTAAAAGCTGAAAATTTTGTTTGTTTGAACGCGCTTATCTCAGGAACTATTGGTTTGATTTTTTTTACTAGGTTGGAAAACGGTGGATATTATTAATCCTTGAGGGATTCCTCAAACCAAAACGGTACCAAAAAGTATAAAAGATAGAACATTCTTTTTAAATATACTAAAAAACTGGTGTTAAGAATTACTCACAAGAGCGCTTATGATGGTAACACATGCCTTTAGATAAATAACTTACCTATATATTATTATTTGTTGTGTATTACTAAAATACTTTCAATATTTTTGTGGAAAATCTTGTCAAAAATGTTATTTTTTATTGAACAACGTTTTGTCACGTTGAAAAGCAAATATTAAGTAACTATCAGAAATGTGTCAATCAAAGTTGTCCTGTAAGAAATAAGGTCCGTTACAAAATTGAAAGCCACACAATATAACAGTAGCCGATCGATCATAATTTAAAATCCGAGGTACAAATGTGAATTGCATTTCTCCCATGGACATCGTACAAGATCGAGAACATCCGATAGCTTTCAGTAATTCATTTTGTTAATTGGGCCGACCTACTTTTTATCCGTAATATTTAACAGTGGCAGCCATTAATTAATTGCTTTTCGAATTGTGAATTTTGCTCGGCGTTA